ACTACTCCTCTGATAATTTAGTGTGGCCACAATCCTATAACTATGAAGATAATGTTTAAAGTTTCAGTTATCCCATAAAAAGAGGTTGCATTATCTTCATTAAACTAGTTACTAGCAAGCTCTGGTTTTAGTGTGACACACTTTATTAACTGCACTTATGAACTGGTTAGTCACAAATTTGCAGCAGTTGTAGATTGAGTTATGCAGGCAGTAGAGACCAATAGGTTACAACAACCTCTCTGTTAACAGAGGGGCTTCCAGCCCATATGCTGGGGAACTCTGATGAGAGTTGGTGTTGAAGGTAACAATAAATGTTAAGGCAGCCCCTGGAACTGAATATTTTTCTGGTTATCATGCTCTCCTTCCAGTTGTCCTAAGTGAGGCTCCCACTGGTAGTATGCATGAAAGGAAAAAAAACCCTATCATTTATTTCAAGATCAGGAGATGAGAGAAGACATCTAGAAGGCTAGGCTTTGTTCTTTTCAGCCTTGACCACAGCACAGTAATCATGTGACTGAAAGACAGAAGGTTGGCATAATCAGGAAGTAGATGTGCCTCAGAAGTTGAGTGACTGAAATAAGAGTACTATTTATTCCTCCCTGCCACATCTAATGTGTGCCACTGCCTGAGTGAAAGGGACACAGCTGTTTTTAGCACATAGGATACATGCAGCCAAGTGTACCCTTTGCAGTGACATTGCAACAGAATATACAGCTCAACTGGGTGTTCCACTGACCCAAATCCTGATGCTTCATCTCATCAAATAGAATGGATGAGGCTCTATATTTTGTCACCATCATGTAAATTGAATCCTACAGTACAGAAATAATCCGAACTCAAGCAGAATCATAAGAAGGAATCTGCAGCACTTTACTTAAGGTAGGAGGAGAAATGTGAATGTTACCAATACAAGAATGCATATTAAATAAGCGATAGAAAAGTGTTTTATACTAAATAGAAAGATGTTGGAGAGAATGTATTACAGCCAAGAAAGCAAATAACACACATTCCATTCACCACTGCACTGACGCAATCTTACCTGATTCCATTGTTGTGAATTCTACAACGTTACTGAACTGATTGCCATTTCCAACTTTTGTGAATGCAGAAACGCTGATGAAATAAATGCTGAATGGTTCTAGTCCAAGAATAGTAGTTTCATTGTGAGAACCTGAAATGTTCTTAGATTAAGAAAATAATTAATATAAAATTGCTATTTTCTTTTTAAAATACAGAAGTAACAATCTTGTAATACTCTTTTCTTATGGCCACCATGGCTATAATTTCCACTAACAATATCCCCGAATATATTCTTTGTTGCATGAAGAACAGACTCAAGTAACAGATTGGTAAACTCATCCCTTGTATGAAAAAGAGCAGATACATAATCTTCCCTATTAATTTCATAACCATATTCAAGCACCAAAGCAGGGAAAGAACTGAGAGATTCAGTTGAAGTGAATTGTCACACTTCAGGCATCCCATTGTTTACAGAGAAAGGAGTGAATCTTCTTATAGTTTCTGAGACCAATTAGTTTTGTCCATTTTGATAACTTAGATCTGAGCAGACATATTGGAATTCTTGTTCTCTGGTACTATCGAAGCTTTAAAAACATCTGCAAAGAGGCTGTGAACATGCTAACACATACTTAAGTCTTCTGTATGTTTTCTGCATCTCTATTTCCCTCCTATCTTCGTTTAAAAAAAAACAATAAAGTTTTCTTGGAATTCATAATGCTTATTTGTGGTGCTTCGGTAAAAAACTTCTGTGTTGTTGCTGTCAATTTCCTTCATGGGTTGCTGTGAGTTTTCCGGGCTGTATGGCCATGTTCCAGAAGCATTCTCTCCTGATGTTTTGCCCACATCTATGGCAGCCATCCTCAGAGGTTGTGAGGTCTGTTGGAAATTAGGCAAGTGACGTTTATATATCTGTGGAATATTCAAGGTGGGAGAAATAACTCTTGTCTGTTTGAAGTAAGTGTGAATGTTGTAATTGGCCACTTTGTTTAGCATTGAATAACCTTGCAGCTCCAAAGCCTGGCTGTTTCCTGCAATCAATTGCAACATTCACACTTACCTGAAACAGAGAAGAGTTCTTTCTTCCACCCTGGACATTCCACAGATATATAGGCCTTATTTGCCTAGTTTCCAACAGACCTCACAACTTCTCAGGATGCCTGCCATAAATGTGGGCAAAACATCAGGAGAGAATTCTTCTGGAATTTGGCCATACAGCCCAGAAAACTCACAGCAACCCAGTGATTCTGGCCATGAAAGCCTTTGACAACACAATTTCCTTCAAGTTTTCTGCCATTTTGTGTAAGCTTCTAAATGGCTAAGGCACTAAAAACAAAGCATGTGGTCATACAAAAGACTGCACAGGTGTATTGTTGTTATATATGTTAGTATTTGAATGCATACATGTTATACATGTTAATATATGAATGCATCTGATACTAAAAACAAACCCAAAAACCTCATCTTTCTGTTTCTCATGTTACTTATGACTATCTTTCCTCCACAAACTTCCTAAATTCAAATTTATGTCTTTTGGATATTTCCAGTTTAAAGTGACTGTGAGAAAAGTGAATAGGCAGAATTTCCATTTATATGCTTTTTGGGCAGTTCTTCCAACTACTTTTGGAAAACTGGGATATTTTAAAGACTTTCTGTAAAGGAACAGCTATTGAAATTAAATCCCTTCTCAAAAAAGTTATAAATATGTGCAGAATATAGCATGCTTGCCCTTTTATTTCATGGTTTAAAATTTGATAGTTGGGTTTGATAGTTCAATTTTTAATGTCTATGCTTTCTTTTTTGTCTTTCACGTTGCTCAGTTCTTTATGCCAGGGAGAGGAACCCCTCTCCTTATTATGTCAATCATTTCCTCCTTGGGGGGAGGGGGGAAAGACCCAACACCAGAGCTGATCTCCTTAGAGAGTATTCTATCTGCAGTTTTAACAATTCCATTGCCTCCCCTGATACCTTGTCTCATTCCTTCTACAGCCTGGCTGTATAAATGTTTCTACATGCATCCTCTAACATATTTTGGTGTTCATTAGATATTTATTAATAAAGATTATAACAGTGATATATCTACATAAAATAAAGATGGTACATACTTGAAAATACGTAGTTTGACTACTGTTGTCAAAAATGTTGAAAATGTACATTCTAATAATACCATTTGGTTGTGGGCTTGGGTTCCATTTCAGCCATACAGAGTTAGAGGTGTAATTAAGGATTGTCAGATTCTCAGGAGGAGCCAGTGGGACTGTAAAAAGAAATATCATTTAGTTTTAATGCTGTATGTTATTCATGCCCACAGATACTTTGGAGGAGAATGCATTGCAATACACTGGCACCTGGTGGTAGAGTTGCTCCAAGTTTTAACCTATTACATTAGAGTCGTGCTTATCCAACATGAATGGGCCAGCAGAACATTGGATAGGTGAAAATGTTGGAAAATAAGGAGGGATTAAGGAAAAGCCTATTAAATGTTAAATTACACTATGATTTTACAAATTAAGCACCAAAACATCATGTTTTACAACAAATTGACAGAAAAAGCAGTTCCATACACAGTAACGTTATGTAGTAATTACTGTATTTACAAATTAAGCGCCAAAACATCACAATGTATTGAAACAGCTGTGGATCCAAGTAGGAAGCAGACTGCATTGGATAATACAGAACACTGAATGAGTGAAGGTTGGATACGCGAGACTCTACTATAATTCGAAGGAGCTACCTTGGATGACAACTTGAGAGTCGGACTAAACTCAGAGCAAATTTACTGCTTCACTGACATGGAAACCACTAGCCATTGTTAGTATATTAAACCTTATGTGTCATAAAATATATCTTTAAAGTCTGGTTTATTCATTCAGTTGGTTCTGACTCTTCGTGACCTCATGGACCAGCCCACGCCAGAACTCCCTGTTGGCCGTGGCCACCCCCAGCTCCTTCAAAGACAAGTCAGTCACTTCAAGGATAACATCCACTCACCTTGCTCTTAGTCTACCCCTCTTCCTTTTTCCTTCCATTTTCCCCAGAAGTCTGGGCATTTGCTTAAAAAACATAGATTGAGAGGAACAGGAAGGTGCACAAATAGTCTTGTTTCTTATCTCAGAAGGCGATGGCACATGTAAGGAGAGGGTTGCAATAATTGCTCTTAAATAATGAATCAGTCTTCAAGTAGCCTGGTCCCCAATCTTTTTAAGAGTTCAGCAGTAATAACTAGCATCTTCTTCAAATGCACTCAGAAATAAATTGACGACCAATACAGCTAATACAATCCACATCCTAGTACTTTGTCCTTCAAAATATTTGTAGCCATAGCAATCTGCCTTAACTGAAATTTTCAAGCAGCGTTCAAAGGTAACCTCATACAGAGGTCATTATAATGTTCCAAATTAGATTTAACTAATCCATGAAGAGAAATCTTGGAAGAATCTTCAGATAATGACTTTTTGGCACAATAAGGGAAAATTAGATTTCAAATGCAATGCATAACCAATACAATTCCTTTTTTGTGCAATGGTTTCTATTTAGTTACAAAAGTTACATTTAAAGGGTATACTGTTTTGAAAGAATTTTTTTTAAGTTTTGTGCCAGCCTTATTAATCTTTATTCTCTCTCTTTCACTGGAAAAGCATAAAAAGCAGTGAGCAGCACAATAACAAGTGACTTCTGCAACATTCTATTATGCAATTTCAACCTTCGTTTTCTCAAACACAATGATGAATAATTGTAGAAGAAATTATAGAAGATATCTCATCAAAGAAGAAAACAAAAACAAACAACGCTATGGAGTCTTCAAACAGAGCCATTGCCATGGCTAACCACAGTGACAGATTGGCTGAAGCACACATGGCCGCAGCTGACGTTGGAACATCACAAGATGAAGGATCCTTTCATACTACACAATTATAGCACTATGCCTCCACTTTTTATGCCATGCCTACATGCTTTGGGATCCTTTCTTTGGAATTTAGTGAGGCACTAGAGCTCTCTGGTTGAGAATTCTGAACACTTCTCCCTAAACTATAGATCCCAGGACTTCATAGGATGTTAGCATGACAGTTAAAGTAGAATCAAAGTGCCATAACAGTGTATTGTGAAAAGAGTTCAGGCCAAAGAATACCTTGAGATAAGAAGCCTGATATGATATCCTAGTCCATTTTCTAATCATTAGCACCCCCATCTTGTTCTGATTAAATAGTTCATTTACCCTCAGTCAGTTCAAACACTGACCCAGAATCTCCCATTATTTATCCTACATCCTTATCAACCACTCACCTGACTCATCTGTGGAGAACATTAATACAGAACTTGGTCCAAGTCCTTTTACAGTTCTTGCAGAAGCAAAAAAACTGTACAGTGTATAAGGTGAAAGGTCTTCTAAAATAACAGAGTTATTTGAGGTAGTGAAAGATTCGTTTCTTTCTGGCCCTTGTAGCTGTACATCATAGCTTATTATGATGCCATTTGGTTGGGCTGGAGGATCCCAGGATAACATTACTGAGGTAGATGAAAGGTTTTTATATGATGTCATAACAGGGGCAGAATCTGGGACTGCAACAATAAATAAGAAGGCAAATGTTAAACTGCAGAAATAAGCATTATATATTAAATGTGGAATAAACACTAACAAACATGGCAGTTTTCTTAAGCATCTGAAACATTTAAAACACCTTTGAGAATGGAAATTGTGAGCCATATAAATATATCTGTTGAATGGAAACCTTTATCTCTCCAGAGCTGATGAACAGCTACCCCGTTATCCTTCCATTTTTTATCAGAGTTGGAAGGGTCTGATGGAAACTAGAGTTCAACATGTGGAAAGTCACAGGCTTCCAAGCTCTGTTTTAATGTTATTGAAAAGTTTTGTAACTAACATTATACATATCAAAGGCATAAGTATGCAACATGGTCAGCACCAGGAATATATGATATTCGTGGTTCCAGAAGATAATTTGAAGGTTAACATGTAGTCAATCTATATGTGAATTATGAATTAAGTCTCATTGAGTTAAAGAATGACATAACTAGGACTACAGACTTCATTTCAATATGTTCAGAAATATATTGCGATACATTATTAATACATCATTATCATTCTGAAACTATTATGTTACAAAAGTAAAGGTATATACTATTCTTGAAGTTTGATTTTCATACTCAGAAGTCATTAAAACTTCTGAGTATTAAAGCAATTGTTCAATAATGCACTGCAAATTACAAATTCTAGAAACTTTATTTTTAAAGGTACTCTGCCAGATATGCCATAACTACACTAAAATATCAGTCACAGATCGAGCATAATGAAAACAATAACTGAAGAAGAAAATTAATAATGAGATAAAAAACATACCATCTTCTTCGGTTGTGAAATACAAACTAGTCATGTGTATTTCAGATGGCCCTTTTTCTGTTGCTGGAGTAATGTTTAGGAGGTAGGTGGTATATTTTGCTAGGTGATTAATAACCATATTTGTATCATATGAAATGAATGACCAAATCTCAGGGTCCCCTTGAGCATCCTCTACTGCCAGAGAAATGTTATAGAAAACAATTCCATTTGGCTGGATTGGGGGCATCCAACTTATATTTACAGCAGTGGATGAAATGTTTTGATAGGCTAATTGTTGAATAGGTCCATCAGGAACTGTAACACAAATAAGCAAATGCTATATTATCTGTGGGAAGAGTACAAACAGTGTGCTATAATAATATATGTAAAGTATCATGATAATCGCCATATATCGATGTAAGTCTTATTGAGATGACAAAGATTTTCACATAAATTCCAAGTAATATCTTTATATCTCAAGCACATATGTATACAGCTACCTACATCGACATATATCCCAATCCCATGAAATGTGACAAACTAAAAGCAGGTGAAGTAAGGAATACATGGAATACAAGGAACACAAGGGGCGGTGGTGGAGCAATGGGTTAAACCATTGAACTGTTGAATCTGCTGACCTAAAGGTTGGCAGTTCAAAGCCATGGGTCAGGGTGAACTCCTAATGTTAGCCCCAGCTCCTGCCAACCTAGCATTTTGAAAACATGCAAATGTGAGTAGATCAATAGGTATCACTTTGGTGGGAAGGTAATAAAGGAGCCCATGCAGCCATGCCAGCAACGTGACCAGGAGGTATCTACAGACAACAGGCTCCTTAGCTTATAAGAGCACCTTCCCATGACTAGAGTTGAGCACCACCTCCAGAAAGGCGGAGATGAAAGGGGAAGCCCTTAACTTTGTTCTGTGTATTTGTATGTCATTGTTATTTCACTGTCTTAAAGACATTGAATGTTTGCTGTCTGTGTATGTTGTAATCCGCTCTGAGTCCCCTCAGGAGTGGAATAAAAATAAAATGTTATTTTGTTATTATAATTTTCCATACCAGATCTGTACACTGACAAACATCAAATTAATATGTGGTCTAACTATAGGTGACCATGTTTCTGTATGAATGCACCTGCAAGTCAAATGTTGACCGACATCAATCCTATGAATTTTGTAGAGTTTTATGAAGAAAGGAGTACTTCAAAGTAGGCTGTCATTGCATTGCAAAGTGGGATGATGCATGTATACTCTTAAATATAATCTACAACACTTTATATTCCTTGGTGGTCTTCTTCCAAGATCAGACAAGACCTGATGCTTTCAGTGTATTTTGGTTCTAGGTCCCTCATTGAAGGAGTTGGGGACTGGAATTAAACTAAGAGTATATTTGTGTTTGTTTGTTGTTGTTTTTTTAAAAAAACTTCTGTCAACTAAATATTTTCACTCAAAATAACTTTTAAACATATGACAACGTATATTTCAATATGAAAAAGAAGAGTTTTTTTCTTTAAAAAAAGACATACCATCTTGATCTGTGTACAATTGCATTATCTCACTGATTTGATTTCCATTTCCAATGGCAGTGTTTGCAGTTAGCCAAAGTGTATAGTGGCTCCATTTTGCTAAATCGTTTAATACTGTAGACAAAGTTGCATTATCAGACTCGTGATCAGTGTAATAATTGGTAAAATTCTGTGGATGAAAGTATTAGCACAAAAAATTCAGTTAAACCCAAGTTTAATATTTCTCTTGTAACATCAATTTTTCTCTTATGAGTGCACTTTGGTCAGGATAAATCTGTACAAAAGACAAACTTATATTTATGCACTAAGCCACTTTAGAGAATACTTTGAATAACACTATACAGCACTACTTTGAAATAAGTTTCATTGCATTCAAAGGGTCTTTTTGAACTTTTAAGAATCAAAATTTTCCAATAGGTTTACTTTTTAATTTTTTTTGTTTTCATTCAACCACTAGAGGGAGACCTGTTTGTAGTAAAACTGCCAGGGAAAGAATACAAAAAGCCAATCTTTAATGATGTAAGATGTATTTTTATTCCAATGCAATTGAAAAAGCCAAATTTGAAACAGTTTTCCATGCGACTTTAGGAATGTAGATAGGAAAGTGTGCATGTATACTTAAGCATATATATATAATGCAAACTTCTATGTTTTCTGATTCTTGTTTAACTAGTCCACCACGTAGGAATTAATTAACAGCTTGAATTCAGATCAGTCCTGCACTTTCAAGTTTTTTCAAGTTTTATCCATTTCCTTTTCAATACCATGATCTTCTCCATTTATAATACCAAAGAGGTATATAGGATCTCACAGACAATGAAACTTAACAGACAATTCATCTCTACACTCTCCACCATACAATAGGATCCACTGCACCTAGAACTGATGAAATAGTTGGATATTTGCCTAGTAATAGACATTATTTCTCTACATCTCTTCCAAATAATCCAGAATAACACAAAATATTTCTTCCAATTCTTTCATCACCTTTATTAAAAGATCCCATAGTTCAAGGAAAGGAGAGATAAGTCAGGGGATGAAGAAATAAGAGGAAACTCACAGGGTGGAGTTTTATGTCTAAATCCATGTCATAGTTGCAGACTTCTGATATGTGAATTTACAAACAAGAAGATATTAGCTGAAGGATGCAATCTTATGCAAGTTCCTTGGAGCAAGTCTATATCTACATGATTGCACTGGAACATGAAAAATACTTCCATATGGCATGAAGGGGTACTAGTGTCTTGAACACACCAGATATTGATCCATGACAATATCTGCCACATACTCTTTTCTGGTCTATTTTAACTATCTATAAGGTTCTCAATGAAGTTTTAGAAATAACCAAGCCATAGTGTTAATTGATATAATCTCAATCTTATTAATGAGAGGCACTGCTAAAAGAAAGTTAATTATTTAAATCTAAAAGGCACCGATTGCACTTTTTATTATGTCAGAAGTGACTTGAGAATATAATGCAAGTCATTTCTGGTGTGAGAGAATTGACTGTCTGCAAGGATGTTGCTCAGGTGATGTCCAGACGTTGGCCAGGGGATGTCTAGATGTGTTACCATCCTGTAGGAGGCTTCTCTCGTGTCCCTGCATGGGAAATTGGGGCTGACAGATGGCAGCTCACCCTGTCTTGCAAATTTGAACAGCTGACTTTCAGGTATTTAGGTCAGTAGTTCAGCTGGCACAAGGGTTTAACCCATTGTGCCACCGTGGCTCCATTCTGCACCTACCCATTTCCTTCAATTGAAGTTATATTGATATCACCCAGAAACTCCCATTTCTGAAAAGGAAAGGCAGTTTTAACATGAAGAATAGCTTCACAGCTTTAGACAGAATATTGTCAATGCATGTTTAAAATGTACATCAACTTTAAAACCACATTTATATAAAATTAAAAACAGCATAATCTGTACATTAATCTTATCTAAATTCTTCCTGAGAAATGATGAATTCAGAAATTTTCAGCATAAGCTCTGCAGATTGTAACGAATGAAGTCCAGGGCAGAGAATCACACTGCTTTTAATGTCAGTAGTCAAAGACAAAATGGAAAGGTAAGTTAATATATTTTCCTCTACATTAGTTATGCTCAAAACTTTCTGGCAATGAAATTGAATACTTGGTAAAGCCTTTGTTAATTATTTTTATATTACCATAAATTCATGTCATATTTGCTTTGTTATGTTTTTTTAATTTTTTTGAAAGAATAATAAAACAGATGTACCTGTATATAAGTGTTAGAATCATTTTTGTAGTAAATTGAATAAAACTGTATGACCCCATTGGGCTTTTGAGGAGGATCCCAGGAGATTTCTATTGATGAAGAAGTGAGGTTTTTATACCATATATTTCTAGGTGGATCACTTGGAGCTGGAAAACATTTCAACATTTAATGTCTGCACAAAACACCTATTTTCAATTAAAAAAACATGCATGGTGGGAACGGAGGACTTGTGTATTTTGTGACTGACAGATTTTAATCAGCTCTTCCACTACAATTTCAGGGACTAGCCATTTTTAACACTCAAACCCAGAAATGACCATTCAATCACTTCTGGTTTTCAAATGAGGCCATCATGGACCAAGCCCAGTCTAGTAAGGGGAGGGATAAAACATATATTAAAATTGCTCATGACACAGAGGACACAATTGGTACACGTAAACAAGAAACTAGGGTGGGGAAATGAGAGGGTCAAATATCACTCTGGAAGTTTTGTAAACTCTGTATATAATTTAACAATCCTCAAACAGAAAACATTTTCTTGGCTTTTTTTCATGAGTCCACCTATTCATCCTTAATAGTCATGCAAGCTTCAAACCTGAGATAAAGCTTCAAACCTCATTGTAAGCATAATAGGAGATACTGCAAATGAAAATGGAAGAGGACACCTTCAAAGTAAACATTATAGCTTTAAACAGAGATCTGATTGAAGTCAACATCAGAGTTATGAGTGCAATAATATTATCTGATGGAACATAAATTCTAAATGCCTGTATCTTGAAGAGAAGTGAAGTGCCACAGTTGAGGACAAGGTATTAAGTTTACCTTAGGGATGCTAATCCATATAGCATCCATTAACTAATTATGTTACTTCTAGGTCACTTGGAAGCTACGTTTTTAGTGTATAGGTAGGATCATTTGCAATAGTCACCCACGGCCATTCTTTCATTAAGGCAACAGGATACATTTACCTCCTTCAGAAGTTCTGAACATAGTCAAGTTACTCTTCATGTTTCCATCACCAAATCTAGTACTTGCTGTTACATAAACATTATATTCACTGTTATATTCCAGATCTGTGATCTCTAATGATGGTTCTGTCACATTAATGCTTCTTCTGGATATGAGATTCCTAAACAAACACATTAGATATCATATTACCAAATACTAATTCTTGATATCTGGAAAGGAATGAATTATTTTATTATGTGTGTGGTAATGGGAGTGGAATTATCCTAAGAAAACATCTCATCTAGTTATCTCTGTCACCTGTCCAAAACACCTGTCCAAAATTACAATTTTCTCCACAGTAGCCTTTATAGCTTGCAAAACTATGGAGTAGACCTTTAATATGTCACTTGTTTAACTGCATTATTTTGGTCCACCTTTTATTAATGGTCTGTCTTTTATTAAGTACATCCTTTAAAATATTTACAAATACACTACTAATACTAAAATAGCTCCAGATTTCCCTAAATTATCACACCCAAAACTTTATGGGATTATGTGATACATTACTTCTTACTCTCTCAAAATGCTGACTCTTACAAGTTATACCAAGCGTAATGTTTCTTTAACTGTAATTTATTACCACACAACTCTTTCCTTGGCAGAAATTATGGCCCCATCTACATGGCACTAAAATGCGGTGTAGGGGGCGCTTTATCATGAGGAATCAAACAATGCCTCATGATAATGTAAATTAACCCGTAATAAACCTGGAAGTCCAGGTTTATTCCGGATTAAAATAGCACCTGCGGAGTAGGAATGACAGTCCCAGACTCTCCTCCTTCACCCCCTGTAGTGCTATGATTCTACTTTGACTGCCATGGTTCCATCCTATAGAAACCTGGTATCAGATGTTTTGTTGTTTCCAATTTAGAATTACCTTAAGTCAAATTTGTCACTGGGTTTTCTTGGCAAGATTTGTTCAGAGGGGTTTTTGTCTTTGTCTTCTTTTGAGGCTGAAAGATTATGTCTTGACTGAAACCAAACAGTAGGGTTCTTGGCAAAGCATGGATTATAATCCTGATCTTCAGTTGTAGTCCAGCACTCAAACCTCTACATCACTCTGGTTCATTGGCAGTTTAGGGAAAATATTTTGTATTTTCAGCCAGATAGCTCTAGTGATCCACTAGGTTCAAATCTCAGGAATCCAGAACATGCAGTTAAAGTGCTATAATTCTATGGTGTGGAAGGACTGCAGGATTGCTATTTCAACACCACAGATGTGTCACAGTTATTTAGTGCATTGCATTCTAGGCAGGAATCAGAGAATCATAGAGTTAGAAGAGAACTTGTGGGCCATGGAGTCCAATCTCCTGCTAAGAAGCAGGAAAATTGCAAAGCACCCTCAACAGATGACCATCCAGCCTCTTTTAAAGCCTCCAAAGAAGGAGCCCCCCACAGTCCGAAGCAGAGATTTACACTGCTGAACAGCTCAGAAGTTATTCTTCCTGTTCAGGTGGAATCTCCTTTCCTGTAGTTTGAAGACATTGTTCTGCGTCCTAGCCTCCCAGACAACAGAAAACAAGCTTGCTCCCTCCTCCCTATGACTTCTCCTCACATATTTATACATGGCCATGATGTCTCCTCTCAGCCTTCTCTTCTGCAGGCTAAACATGCCCAGCTCTTTAAGCTGCTCCTCATAGGGCTTGTTCTCCAGACCCTTGATTGTTTTAGTCACCCTCCTCTGGATACATTCCAGTTTGTCAACATCTCCCTTCAATTGTGATGCTCAGAATTGGACATGGTATTCTAGGTGTGGTCTGAGCAAGGCAGAAATAGAGGGATAGCATTATTTCCCTGGATCCAGACACTAGACCCCTATTTATGCAGGCCAAAATCCCATTGGCTTTTTTAGCTGCCTCATGACATTGTTGGCACATGTTTAACTTGTTGTCCATGAGGATTCTAAGATCTTTTTTACATGTACTGCTATCAAGCCAGGCATCCCCCATTCTGTATCTTTGCATTTAATCCAGTGCAAGTAGGAAAATATCTCAGTGTTGACACTCAGCTTCTAAAATTACTACAAGATCCTGGCACACACTGACCTTGACTTATGAGAAATCAATGTATTTCAAGTGATGTGCTAACATTTTAATGCAAGAGTAGAATCAACTAGAAAGTTTTTTAAAGTTTTTTTCCCCATAGGTAACAACTTATTTCCAGGGGGAAAAACCTTACCAGATATGCACGGTGTAATAGAGGATAATTCCATTTGGCTCCAATGGTGGTTGCCATGACAACTTCACCGTGACACCAGATAACTGTTTTACTGTGAGCCGTCGTGGAGGAGAGCTAGGGACTGTAAAATGAAAACACCATATCTTGTTAAATTTCTCATGATTTCAAACATCTCTTAAAATGAGACCTTTGTGTTTTACCTCTATAACCTATAAGCACACACTTGACTGAGATGGGCTTTTTTCTGTAGTGAGGTGATAAACAACATTTTCTTTATGGTGATGACAAGACCTCTGTTTCAATGGTCTGATGGAAAATGATATTTCATGAGAAAATAGAGTAATGAGAAAATAGAGTATAAGGTTTGTAAAAATGTAGTGAATCACTTTCATAAGGAGCAGTAGTAGAAATGTTCACATTGCTTTAAATGGTGGGAAAAGGGAAAGGTGATAACAGATTATAAGAAAGCATTTTAAAATCTATTGCATCCATTAAATAATAGATAACACAGAGAGTATCACACACTATGGAAAAATCCCCATATACTCTTAAAGCAATTAAACTCAAGTCAAACAAAAGCAAGCCTATAATACAATGCAGTAAGATTTTAATACAATGAATAATACAAGATGGAGCTGTGTGATACAACCCCTGCTTTGTGTATATAAGATTTCAAGTCAATGGCACTGCATTGCCATTAAGTGTGAAAATGATGGAGCAGTGGAAAGATACCCTAATAATATATTTCTTATTCAGTCACTGAAACTACTGGATTGGTTTACTATGAATAACCAAACAATATGCCAATCCACTAATTTCATCATATAGTTGAAAACCACTGTCAAGATTGCCCATGCCATAGTATTTCTGATTTTTTCAATGGTTGTGAAAGCTCTACAGTGTAAAAAGCTAAGAAGAAGAGAATCAACTCATTTTAAATTACTGTGGACACTATGGACTGCCAAAAAGACATGTAAATGAGCTCAAGAGCAAGTATTCAAGCCTGAACTCTGCCTAGAGGTCAGAATGAGACTATTATATTTTGGACATATCATGAGATGGTATGACTCCTTAGAAAGTATGACAATTGTCAGTAAAGTGGGAGGCAGTAGGAAAAGAAGTTTATAATTTCCATTGTGTCTGTTCTGCTCATGGAAACAGAAGTTGAAATTCTCTGACCTTTCTTCACACAAATAAATAATAATAATCCACATATAAATTACAAGTGGTGGATCATATAACAGATACAGAGAAATTATACTAAACGCATTTACTTTAAATCACAACAGTATCATGTACTGACAAAAGAGACAAATAAGTAAAAAGAGATCAAAGTCATAATTGTAGTCATACATGAAAGTTAGAAACACAAGCATAATATTAGCAAGCCTCTGAGACTTTAAATGTGATACTTAGAACAATTTGTACTTGAAGTACATTATAAATATTTTTGATATGTTTGCAGTGCCCTCTGATTTGTCATATAGTTCCCATCTTAATTCTGACTATTTGAAGATACTTTAAATTTAACACATGATGAAATTTACTGGGCAAAAATCCCCAGCTTTATTGTTCGCCCCTTCACACAGGGCGAAATTTGGCAGCATGTACTGATTTAGCTACGGTCACCCTGTGAGCTGGCCAGATCCCATCAGATCATGCCACTGAGGCTCTATAGGTGAAGGAGGGCTCCTGTGTTTCCATTGCAATATATGGGGGAAGCCACATGCTCCACATGCACTCACACTTCTCCCCATGGGTTCGCTCTCAGCTGGAGCCAGGTGATGCGGGGCATGGAGCGCTGGGTTCCCTACACCCCCCTACGAAGCAAAGCATCTCTGGTGGCCATATGTCAAGGTTGTAAATTCATTGCTTCATTTTAACACAGCATGCCTTCCCTCTTGGCAAACCAAGAGGTATGAAAGGCTTCAGAGATACAAGCAAAAATAAGTCAATATTAGAAAAACTTACCATCTTCAGCTGTCATTATAGAGAGAGGCATACTGCGAGTACCTTCCCCTTTTGCAGTGCTTGAAGATACTTCAACTACATATTTTGTGTATATTTTTAAACCTATATAAAGAATAAATATATTAAGTATATTTATATGTGTACTTTTTGCTGTCATACATATGTTTGCATTTGTGGTAGTATATGCAGCTTCCTATATTCACTTCACAAGCAGAATGAAGTCATAGTTAGAAAAAAGTCAAATTAGTATAGATTTTAAAAATTGCTAATTTACCATTTTATAACATATAAAACCCCCCAAAAATATAATGGCAATTTCATAGAAATTCATGGGGCTTTAGTTACTTGAAGTCATTCTTTTGAGGCCCCTTCTACACTGCCATATAATCCATTTCAAAGCAGACAATCTAGATTTTATATGGCAGTGTAGAAGTGGCCTGAGACATAAGGATAACTACCTTTTAGGAGCAAGGCCTGATTTCCCTTATGAATGCAAGAAAATTATGCAAAGAAGAGGTTTTTCTCATGTCTTGTCCTCGTTTTCAAAGCCCATCAAGATGGTGTCCAGATTTTAATAATTGCCCGAGTTGTTATTCTTAAACTACCTGCTTCAGCAATAGTTGTTGTAATAGTCACCTGTAATAGTGAATGACAAATTTTTGGTGTTGATTATTCTTTCCTCGGTCCCATCAGTCTCTCTGAGATATATAGTGTAGCTCTCGATAATCCCATTGGGGACAGATGGAGGAAAATATGATAATTCTATTTCTGTAGAAGATATGTTCCTGTAGGTTATATTTTGTGGTGGAAGCTCAGGTACTGAAAAGAAAAGAATTCATACAAATATTTAACTAAAATTTTAGAACTGTTCACATAATACTACCAAAATATGAAAATCTCTGTAATTAAAAAATAAACAACCTCATTGGCCAAATCTCACCATCAATATCACTCTGACAAACCAGGATTTATGAAACACTCCTGCATTAGATAGGGTGACCTCTGTTGACCACCAGAAACTGGAGGCCAACAGTAGTCATCCTCAAGACATTTTTTCCTAGCTGTACTAGCTCCTATCTTGCAGTACAGAGTTTTATGCCCACATACCTTGTCTTATTTCACATAAACTAGTCTACTGTGCTCAGGTTCAAAGAAGTGCAAATACTGTATCACTATTAATGTGAGAAGTAAAGATTCAACTGCCTGTCCAGTTGGGTTCTCTTCTTATGATGGGTAGTGGAGGCAAATAACTTTCAGCCCCAGAACTTAGATATCCTTTGCATTTGTATCACAATGCCTTGGCCAGCCCTTTCCCTTTGAAACAAGGAGGCCCTCCTCTTGCTTTCCACCACAGTCACAAGCATGGCTGGTGGGGACGAAGGGGAGGGCTTTCTCATGATGGCCCCCCGACTTTAGAACACCCTCCTCAGTGAGATTAGGCAAGCCCCCATACTGTCCTCCTTTCGTAGGGATTTGAAAACCTGGATGTTCCAGTAAGCATTCGAGATTGATTAGTCCCTAGTTATATATGCCCAGGCCCTAGGTCACCAGATAGTACTCTGTGTTGCACTTCATCCACTTCCTCAGCTCTATTTGCACTATCCTTACCCAGCCTTTTTATAGCTTGGTCATGCCCATTTTAGAATTCTTGGTCATTTCACATGATGGAGCTCCAATGTAATCTGTTTTATTATTTTATGTTTAGTCTATCTTTGTTGTTGTATTTTATGATGCTCCGATTTTAATATGTTTTGTTTTATGGATTGTTTTTTATTTTCTGTCTTGTGGACATGTTTTCCCATTTGTAAGCTGCCCCGAGTCCTTTCGGAGAGATGGTATCAAGGTATAAGAACAAAGTTGTTCTTATTAAAATTCAAAATAAATAAGATCTCCAGCTCACATCTGAGGAGAAGAATTCTACTTTTAAAAAGCTATACTTAAAAAACCCAAACAGTTGCTTCTAGGGCTTCAAATACTCCATCAAGTCTCCAAGATAACAGGAATTAAAAATCTGCCCAGAAACGAAGAACTGCATGCCCAGAGCTTTTGAAGGCCCAGTTCAAGGCTTTAAAGATATTTTGGTCCACCTGGACTTGGAGATGGCATTAAAATAACCTGGCCCACCAAAAAAAATCTGGAAGTGAGTAGTTGGTAACTTCCAGTACTTTTAAGGAAAAAAATATTTTACCCCAATATGAGTAGTGACTAAGTGGTCACTTCTGATTTTAAAAAATATATAGCTAAATGCAATCCAAACAGTATGAAAACATTGTAATTATAACGCTTAGATCTTCCATAGCAGCCCAATTCTAATTTCTTACATTATTATTTACAATTACTTTATTAATTGTTATATTGTATTTTGCTATGATTTTATTCTTTTAAAAAGACTTTTAAAAAGTATAAAAAGTATAAACATTATCTTAAAGTAATGAATAAACACTAATGACTAAGGACTACTTTGAAAGCAAATCCTATTGTTTTCCAATATGGGACTTCTAAATAATGATGATTAAAATTAAAACTATAGAAACAAAACAAGACTCTCGCATTTTGTGCTTACCAGTTTCAGCTGTTCTTACAGATAACAGGGCAGAAGACTGATTCCCATGACCGAGGGAAGTAAATGCCCTTACAGAAATGTTATACAGAGTATAGGGTTTCAGGCCATTTAGAAGAAGATTTGTTGCTGTGGTATTTTTAAAAACTGAAGTACTGGCATCATCATATATAACTTCATAATGAGTTATGATCCCATTGGGCTTTTCAGGAGGTGACCATCTTAAGTTTATTTCTGTGGCAGTCACTTCTGATAATTCAACATCCTGGGGTGGTGAATCTGGCTCTTGATTCAGAAAAAAAGCAGCTTAGAATTTTACAACATATTAAACATACTCAGTGTTTTTAACAGGGAAAAGGTACTAAATTATAAAACCAGTATAAACAATATGCTGCTTACCATCTTCAGGAGTTGTCACAAAAATATCATTGTCTTCTGACAGAGCACTTTCTCCTATAGTTGTAGAAGCTGCTACCCTCATTTTATAATTTGTATACTTTCTCAAGCCTAGAAAAAATAATAAACAAACTTTCACTAACATGATTCACAGCTATAGTAATTTACAAGTAGGAGTTACACTTTTCCTTTTTACTATCCCAACTTTTTTTTTTTACCAGGGATCACTTGACTAGGGACCTCTTGAACGGGCACCAGTTTGGCCAGGGACCACTTTCCAACATTACCACCAAAAGGGTTAAGAGTCGGTTTTTGGTCAACTTTAGATTTGGTTTGATAATTTGGGGTGCCAATTCAGAAAATTGCATTGGATAGACCACATCAGCTCTAGGTTCTGATGCAGAACATATGCCATCCAGTAGTTGCCATCTGCACATCCACAGAAAACCATATTTAATAATCTAGAGCTGATGTGGTAGCAATAATCTTTCATGGCTAGTAAGCCTCCTCCTTCCCAATATCCCTGTTTCCTTGATACTATAAGAGGGTTTCGCAAGACCAGTTGCTCTTCTTGCCGTGTGATTTCGAGGCAACAGTGTAGTAATGGTAATACTACAGACCATATTTTCATTCTCGCAGACCACTGGTGGTTTCTTAGACCACAGGTTGGGAAACATTGTTCTACATCAAGCATGGCAAAATTGTGACTCTCTGGAAATTGTTGGACTCAGGCCATCAAAGGACCACAGTCGTTGAGGCTCACGGTTAGCCAGGAATGCTCAGAGATGCAGTCCAAATTCCTGCAACATCTGGAAGGTCAAGAATTTGTACTCTAATGGTAGATTGTTTGTGGGAAGGAGAAGTAATTTGAAAGCTATATTAGTTTTCTGAAGAGAGCTACAGCAAAGGAATATACTGTAAAAACAAACATATTTGTATTCAGTTATTCCAAAATGTTTTTAAATAATTATTTTAAACTAACCTGTAATCAAGATGCTGTTATTTGTTGTGGTCATGTGAAAGGCTCTATTCGTATCCAGCTCCATTGCATAAACTGTGTAATGTGTGATTTCTCCATTGGGATTCACTGGTACATCCCAATACAACAAAATCGAAGAAGAACTAATATTTTTATAGTTTATATTTTCTACAGAACTTGGAACTATAGAAAAAATGACAAATTATTCATTAACACATTGGAGCTAAATTAGAAATCAACAGTATGAAAATACTACAGTCTTTAAAACGTACCTTGTTCACTTGTCCTAGCAATGAGAATAGCTGGCGGTCCTTCCCCAATGATGGTAAAAGCAGACACAGCAATTGCATATTTGGTGAAAGGTTGGAGACTATTTACAAGATATGACAGCTGCTCAACTGAAAAACGGACAGTATCAATAAATGTTTCACATTTTAGGAAAGGAGAGGAAATGATATTATGTGTAATAAATAATAATAATAATAATAATAATAATAATAATAATAATAATAATAATAATAATAACCTTTATTTATATACCATCCTATCTCCCCGAAGCGACTCAGGGTGGTAAATAACAAAGTCAGCAAACAATCAATGCCATAAAAAAGAAAAATAAACAAATAACCATCCCACCCAAAACGTAGAGAATTGTGTTAAAGGCAGAAAAACCAAATTAAAACTCCACAAAACATTCCAGAAGGCTGCTGCAACACCCACACACTAAACATTCACCGTGGAAATTGATCAGAACTAAAGCAAATAATATTTACAAAAATAAAAAACATGGAGATAAAACAGAAGTTGGCTTTGGATAGAACACAGGAAAAAATTGTGTGTCATTTCCAATCAATCTGAAAAATAGGAATCTTATAGCACAAACATCTGCATATTGATGAAGAAATCCTGCATGTCATTTACAATCAAACTTAAAAATAAAAGTCTTAACAGTAGAAAATATCTGCATGTTGCTGTATTCAATGTGAATTACTCCCAGGAAAACATGTATAACATTGCAACATTAACCTGATTCCATTCTTGTAATAAACTATCATACAAAAAGAGATAGCGAGATTAAATCATTCACATTCGAATGGAAATTGTAATATATGCTTTTTGAAATAAATATTAATAATGATTATCAGAAAGCCTTGCTGTAAGTTCCTAGCCCTAGTTTAATTTACAATGGGCCTGCAAAGGAATGTAAATAAAATCAGAATGTGGCCTGATGTCACATTGAATGAATTCACTGGGGGGGGGGGGATCAGCCTTTTGAAGCCTGTATATCTGTCAACCAGTCCTTGTTTAATGGCTCATAAATATATATACTTAGTCGAGAAAAATGATCCATTGATAATGTTGTGCCAGTGAATATGCTAATGACATCACTGTGTCATGGGGTCATCTCCACCTGTTTGCTGCCCCCATATAGCAGAGTTGTAACTTTTTGACCTATTTGCCTTCAGTGACATTTGAAAACCTATTAGTCAAAAACTCTAGGAGAAATTAAGATCCACTTGGGACATGGATATATGTTAATCTCCTCCAATCACACCTGCTTTGGCAACTGCAATAACTGATTGTCTATGCAGCTTGTCCAAAAGCACTGGCATCTTCTTTCTCAAGGAGGAAGGTCAATTGGGTGACAAGGGGTTAGTAGTTTCTGCTTGTGTGGCATTCCTCATTTGCTTCTGGAGGCAATGTTAAGAGTTGGAAAGGAAGGTAGAATCTGACTTTAGCAAATGACCACTGTCTGGTGTCTCTCATCAGGATCATGCATGTGTTGACAGCTTTTTGAACAATGGGGTTGTTACAGAAAATAACATTTCAAACTCACCAGAATCTGCATGTGGCTCTGAAACCTCACTGAAAGTGGGAAGATTATCATCAGACATATCTGTAAATTTCACTGGAGAAAACCTGTGCACTGCTGGGAACATGTCAGCTGAACCTTCATACGAACTGGTCACTGTTTCTAATTTATTCCACATGGCAGATGGCGTGTATACATCCATCATCTCTGGATCCACAGACTCAATGAAATACTAAAACATAATGGAAAGAAAGAGAATTCACTGCTGGTTAAATCTCATTCTAGAACTCAAGATTAAATCAGGAGTAAAGGGTTGATGCGAAATCTCTGAAAATCAGTAAGAAGTTATAGGTTCTAATTTAAATCACCTTGTCTTTTTCTGGCAGAAGTGTGTCTTCCAGAATCTCCCCTGTGTCCTCAAGTAATACTTGCACTCTGTATTGAGTGATAATTCCATTTGGTTGTTGTGGTTTCTTCCAAGCAATTCTAATAAACGTTGCTGATTCTTCTGTGGCATGCAGATCAAATACAGGTCCTGGGACTACAAGCCAATAAATGAATATAAATCACTCCCATTCTTTTTGGCTGGATGAAATAGTGTATAAAGCAGTTAATTGGGTAAATCTGGTAAAATTATAATTTGAAATCCAATATTAAAATACGGTGCTTTTTATAGTCATGGAAATGAAGAGTATCCCATCATTACTGCTGTGATAAGCATGCATTAAAGCTCCTTATGCCAAATTTGGTACAGCAAAGTTAATCTGGTTGCATTCCGTTTTTGTGTCCATATAGTAAAAAGGTGACTAAATATTCAGCTTGTTCCAAATCCTGACACAGTTGGCTCTTTGTTACCAAAACTTCTTCAGGGTAGTAGACAAGGGCTTTTACTCAGTTCTGTGTTCAACTCACAGGAAGCAAATCCTGTTTAATTAATTTTGTGGTTTTGTGGGTAAACTTTAGGGGTGATGCAGATATTTGATCTGGATTGGGAACTTGTTAACAGTTTATTTATTTTAACTTATGCTGTACTGTTGTTGTATGCTGTATATGTATGTGTTTGTCAAATGTTTTGATACTGCCAATAGGCTAATCAATAAATCATACTACTCCTACTACTACTCCTACTACTGCAATTTTGTGATGTATTACAATGAATATGTTGAAGTTCTGCATATTGGGAAGAGTTTTGACAACATGATGCCTATCCAAAATTCTGAAATCTGAAATAGTCCAAAATTCAAAACCGTCTACATGGTTGGCTAAGTAGTAGCACCTTTGTTTTCTGATCATTGAATGTACACAATGTGCACAAAAATATTTTTACAATATTGTGTATCATGTCAACTTCAGGCTATGTGTAAAAAATCATTTTGACTAAGGGATATTCAATCTCTCTCTGTGTGTGTATTTATGTATGGATTTTATGCCATCAGATTGTTCAGAAATCTCAGCAAAACTAGTGGCTAAGGCCACCAGGGTTAAGTGTAGCTTTTAAATTAACTTAAAGTAGCCTTTTAACAAAAAGTCAGCTTAACATAGTGGTTTGAATTTTAGACCATGGCACTAGAGACCAGGAATCAAACATCCATTCAGCTATGAAACCCACTAGGTCACATTATCTTGGCCTCAGAGGAAAGCAAAGGCAAATCTCCATAGAAAAATCTTGCCCAGAAAACACTGTGATAGGGTCACCTTAGAATCACCATAAATTCGAAATGACTTGAAGACACACAACAGTAGCAACAAACAGTAGCAACAAAACCTTCCAGCAAAGTATTTCCCCACATTATTTAGGGGAGCTAGCTATGTCTTCCTACTTCCAGAGACTGTCAAGAGTGATCTAACACATATAAGTGACTACCTGGACCATTCTCTTTTTCATATGATAGAATATGGAAATTGAACTAGTCATTTTTATAGACAAACTTTTTAGACTTGCAAGAATAATTGCATAGAGGTCGAAATCTATTGTCCAAAGTGCTGGACTTCAGTTACATGGACTACTGAAAATTCTTGCAGCAGGTAGGCTCTTTATAATATTAGGTATGTCTGCCCCTTCACTAAGTAAATCTGAAAACAAATCTGCTGCATTTCCTCTAGCTACCTACTGCCATCTAATGGTCAAACAACTCATAACTCATTCTAGAAGTAGAATATAACTTACTTCTGTCATGGAAAGCACTTGGTGCATTCTCCAAATATACACAAGTATAGTATCTTAATGGGTGTCCTTACATGCTGTCCTTCTGCTCAGGTTTTGCAACCTACATTGATTGAAGGATGTAATTTTTCATTATATCAGTACTTGGGGAATGGCATAGGCACTAACTTTGAGCAGAAAGACAGCATGTGAGGACTAAAGGACTTCCCACAGATATCACAAATCACAGGTGCTCAAATCTCATTCTATGCAATGGCGTGGTGAAATAGTGCCTCTTATATAACATGGCAAAATAAAAGTTTGCTTTTTGGGTTTTGAATGATTGAATCCATGGATACAAAATCCATGGATTCAGAATGATTGGAGTCATGGACAATTTACTTGTATATATTTGGAGAATCCAAAATAGCTTTGCTACTTATACTGACTGGGATGCAGTTCTTCAAGGCATGAATAATGAGCAGGAAGACAGCATGTGAGGATGCTCATTAAGAGAGATACTTGTGTTTTTCATGGCAAAAACAGGTTGTGTACTGCTTCTCATGTTATCAGCACTTCACACAAGCTGCCAGCACCCAGTTTCTCTTTCTCATTTCAATATGCGAAAAATTACATGGGTTTCCCTCCAAAGGTAGCAACAAGTAATTTAGCATTTTTCTTTTTTATAGAAAACAACATTTGTGTGTATTGTTCTGCAGCAAATGCAGTTGTGCAGGAAATGTAGTTTCTTGCACAAAACAATTATGTATGAATGTTGCACAGATTACATCACAAACTGTGAAAATTCTGTTTAGTCCAGAATTCTCATCTGGCTTTCTCGGCATGTTCTCAACCATTTTCCTAATATTTTAGAATATCAACACACACACACGGTACCATAGACTCTTATTTACATGCAACTACTATAGGAAATATGTAACTGTTACTAGGCATGCTGTTTTATACTGAAAGAAAACTCACATGCTATTCATAGGCCATAATGGAAACATTTATTTTTCAAAGAAAATGATAAAGTAAGATACTGCAAGAATACCATGCTCCTTGGTAGCAGATGCACAACGTACCTCCTGCAGGTGTGAAAACAGTTAAGTTTGCCTTTGGCCCCACCCCAGCACTTGTCTCAGCAGCAACAAACGCATCATATGTTGTGAACGGTATTAGATTATTAAAGGTAAATTTCAAGTCCTTTGTGCTATTATCCAAAATATGCCCTGCAAAGGATAGATACATAGTAAAAGAAAGAAACACACTGTAACTCTGAAAAACAATTGCAATTAATAATGCATGGTTACTGATTTGGTATACTGAAATAGGAAATATACCAAATGCACTTAAATGAGCATTATTATAAAAGATAAAAAATAACAATCTAACTAAAATGTTCACAGGTCCTGTTTCATTTAAACTGACTGAAATTTAGTTTTCTCTTATGTGTTTCCTCCAGCTCATTCATTACGTTCACATGATAGGTTGTCTACAGAGAAAAAATTCCACTGTGGTTTTTAAAAATTGTAAAGAAATGGAGGGATATGATTTAAAAAATACCATTGGACCACAGAGACTATGGTCAATATACTAGAACCATGGCTGTATTAATCTGCAGAATAGCATAAGACACCATGTTGACCAATTTTTATTGTTTTAGTTACAAGGTCCAAGATTTTGTTAAAAGCAAAAGTGTACAAGAGGTAATTTTGAATGTATTTGAACATCTCATATAGAATCAATAGTAATACTTAATGAAATTCCACTTGAAACTTGTCTAATACCAAGAAAATGTTCTGATTTCTTCATTATGTTTTTCTAGTAGATCAGAAACATATATTTTAAATATTGGCAAGATATTTGTTTTTCCCTTGTGTTAGTTATTCTATTTCAATATTATCATATGAACCATTAATATGAATCACTACACACAATTTCATTTTCCTGCTGCTAGGCAAGCTTCAACATTTCCTGAGAATGAAGCAACTAAAGATGGAGAATATCATAGTTCCTATCAAGATCAGTTGGTCACATGATGGAAATATCCATATTGCTATAGTGACAGATAACTCAGATGATGAACACAAGCACTTTGACATTTTCATTGCTCATTTAGGGAAGGCTTCCTGAACTAAATCAAATGTTGGATTATTTATTTATTTTAATAAAGCACCATCAGTGTATCTATAAGATTGGTAATTTTCGTTATCATACTTGTACTAAAACATCTATGAATAAGGAACTGAATGTATTGACCAAAAATAATAAGGAACTGAATGTATTGACCAAAAACAATATGACCAAAGGAAATGACACAGAATCTGACTTACCAGAGGGTCCAAATAAGTCAACTCTGTAGCTAAACTTTCCAGTGACAATGGTTGGTGGTTCCCAAGAAACTGAGAAAGACTTTCCTGTAATGTTGCCTTTGACAAAATTTTGAGGTGGATCCTCTGGAACTAAAGTAAGGCAAAAAGGCATCTTTATGTCCATATGGTCTATTTTTATGTCCCCTTTGTACGATCTGATTTGTATAAATACGGAACATAATATACACAAAATAATTATTTTTACAGTAGACGTCCCAGTCCGTACTAAGACATAGAACAGTGTTCTATGTGATAAAAGCAAAATAAATAAACAAACAAATAAATAAATAAAATCTAAGGATATTCTGAGAAGATCTGATTAAGGCAGCTGTTCCAAATATGGGCAGAATTCAAAATGCCAGACAATGACATCACTAAGGTGGTGTCATGCAGTGTTGGAACTCATGCTGTCATCCTATGGACCACACCACAGTATGTAGCCAAAAAAAACCAGACAATTTGAAAAAAAATCAGCTATTATAAAACAAATCCAACATCAATGAAAGAAAATAGCAGCTCATTTTTATAGAATGTACAGACAAAACCATGTGTTTCAAAGCATCATTATAATTGGATAATAATAACAGCTCTGGTAAGACTACAGAAGGTTCAAAAAGTAAATTAGCACAAAAATCTAGCCTTGTAGATAGATTGATACAAATACATGTAAGCTGGGGTAATAAAAAATGTTTTTGTGACTATATCTAACTATATGGATAATCATTAATTAAATATTCTGCTGAAACACTACACAAAGTTTTTACAGACAAGTCATTTTGGTGTCACCTTCTCTGAGGGTGTCATCTGGTGTGGTTTGCACCCTCTCAGGTGATGCCTCTGATGTCAACCAATCTTGTAACTAGCTGTGAGAATTTTTATAAATCTTCTAACTAGTTATGAGTATTTTTATAAAAATAAAATATGAATTCACACGTGTATTATATGATATAATATTATTTTTATAAGATATTAAGTTATATATAGAAAGATAATAGCAGTTGGACAGGGGGGGGGGGAATCTAATACTGCTCTATTATCTGGGTGGAAGCCAAAAGGGGTGCTAGACAAAGAAAGATAGTCCATTTTATGGGGGGAAGAGGATTTGAAGGAGGAAAACTATTTCCACCTGTTTTCCTGTTATTCCCCCCACCCATGTCACCATCATGGAAACAACCCTCGTTTTTGACATGGGAAGGGGGGAGGGAATGACCAGCAAAAACGGGAGAAATTGTTTCCCTCCTTCAACTACCCGCACATAAAATGGGCAATCCTTCTCTGCCTAGTGCCCCCTTTTAGCCTCTGCCCAGATAATGGAACAATACCAAATCTCCAAAATAGTATGGATTGCAAGATGTCTGAAATGATTGGAATGGAGTTTACCCTAAAACAAAGTATCCTCTCTGACTTCTGCTGCAGCTTCAAGAAATACTGTATATAGATCTGATGGGTCACATATCCCTCAAATATTGATCTTGAGTGCTGCTGTAAGGGCTGCAATAAGTAGGAAGAACTGGCAAAATCCCTAAAGTAGATTTTCATTTATGGTACTCTTGATCCAATTCCAGGATACGTAGTTATTTTTAAAGATCTGTATCTTTTTAAAGATCTAATTTTACCCTGGCTGTAAACTAATACTTTGAAATAAATTTCACTGATAGCAATGCAACATTTCCTCTCAAATACATGAATTTAGGATTGAATTAAGCATTAATAATATTGCAGACAAGAAATAATATTAACATTGAGTTATTGTAAAATATATAATGATTAGAACCAAAAGAGAGATAAAATTAGCTAAGCTCTCAAAAAGTGTTAAAAGGCAAACCTCATAGTACTGCTTTCTAAAAATAATCTTAGCCATGAATCAAAACTGTCTTAAATATTTTCTTGAACACTTACTTTGGTAATGATACCCCTAACATACTGCTATTTCTGCACAGCTGACAAAATGCTTCAGCTGCTTGAAGTGTAACAAAGATTAGGTCAAATACAACATTATTCAAAGCCAGTGCTGGTCATAAAAAAGAACACGTTTTTTATTGCACTAGCTGTCAAAATGAGAACAGCTGTTAACAAACGGAAATAAATCTCTTGTCTGTTCAAAAGAGGCTCTGCTTTCTTATGGTTACTTCAATATTTCTCTATTGTCTTGCCAACTGAAAGGGATACAGTTACAAGGCATACATTATTCTAAAATATAATTCTTTAAATATATTAGAAAGGAACACTTTTTATTAAATGAACAATTTTATTGTTTATGCAAAGCTTAGTCATTTCTTGTCTTCATTCCATAACTTGGAAAATGTATGCTGGGTTAATATATTATCATGCTGAAGTAATCTGTAATTTAGTGCTAAAATGATGCTCCAGGTTCCCTGGCACCATCCTACTACTAAGTAGTTATTTATGCATTCAGCCTATTTGCTTGTCTTAATGCTAACTTTTAAACTCTTCTTAAAGGTAAGGTGCTCAAAATGTGTTATCACCACCTATAAGGATCTTTGAAATACATAAATTTGAAAGGAGATCCAAAATTATCTCTAATGGGGAAAATAGAAGCTGAGAGAATTATCAAGAAAATCATACTAGGGAAATGAATAAATCAAATCCAGATCAGATGCTGTACTGTGGATTGCAGTCTGAAATGAGAAAGTGGAGACCAAAATCTTACTCTGCATTAGGGGGAAATGCAGCCCACCAGTCACATTTGGCCCCCAACACTCTTTTTTTGTGGTTCTTGGTGCCCCCACAATATTCTCACGACTCCAAGATTTCCCCTCATTTGTAAATTCTTGGTCCATGTTTTATTTCTTTAAAAAATCTAAGAGTCAAAACCACTCAAATACAATATTTTGTTCCCAAATGTTGCAAGACACCCCCAAAACCAATTTTAAAAGTGGCTGAAAATGAAAGCAAAAGTGACATCAGAGATGTATGGGTGAAACTGCCCCCAATCCAGGCATGTAGCCAGGGGGGGGGGTCTTGAGGGGCTTCAGCCCCCCCCCCCCGAAATTTCATGGTGGTTCGCGAAAAGGCCTTACTGGTGCATTATTTAAACTGTTATGTTTATTCATATCATGATCTGATCACCATACTCAATATATCCCATATGCATGGGGGTATTGGGGTAATGATACAAAAGGTTTGCTAGGCTAGACCCTCTTTCACTCAGACTCAGCCCCCGCCCCGAAACTCAGCCCCCGAAACCCCCCTGAAATTATTTTAGCCCCCCCCCCGAAACGAAATCCTGGCTACGGGCCTGCCCCAATCCTAGCACAATTGTCCATCTTGGCCCTACTGTGATAACTGCCCAATCCGCACTCAAGATCACGAGCCCATGATGACTGCATGGCTCTTTTTAGAAGAAAGGAAGAGGCGCGAAGCAGATCAAGGATCTGCTAGTTAATATGTACCATCTATACTTGTACATGAGCCTAGAAATTTGAATCAAAAATTTATCCCAGAAACCTGGATCAACATTTTAATGGATCAACCCCTTTTATTTTCTCTGCTGCAGTGCTGCTTTTGAGTTTCTAAAATAGCTAGGTGAAAACATGGTGGTGCCAAGGGCAATCGGCCTTCTGGAGTGGTGCTGGCACTTTTCCCTTTTTGTGGAATGACCTCTGTCTTATTCACAGGCCATATCACAATCTGTAATTTTGATCTCAAAACTTGTCTTCGACATATATATATATATATATATATATATATATATATATATATATAAGCTGCTATATCAGAGACAATATGCCTCTGTAATATTTATTGGGGGATTTGAGATCAGAGCTACAGTTGCACTCACTGCTTGCTTATTAGATTCTCATTGGCAACTGAGTGGCCACTGTATGAACCTGAAAAGTTCTTAGGCCTGATTTTTTCTCATGTTTTTATGTCTGAATTAAAATGCATTCCCAGAGCAAGGAGAACAATAACTTTCTTTGTAGATCAGTGGTTCTCAATCCGTGTACCCAGGTGTTTTTGCCTACAACTCCCAGAAATCCCAGCCAGTTTACCAGCTCTTAGGATATCTGGGAGTTGAAGCCAAAACATCTGGGGACCCACAGGTTGAGAACCATTGTTATATAGGGTGAAAGTGTTTTTATTTCTTCAGGATATAATAAAGTTTGGCAGTAAAACTTCAAATAATTTCCTGTTTGTGGGGTTATATTATAAAAACTATAGCTATTGATGATCTTAACCTCTATAAGCTAATTCTGATTATCATTATTTGTTTCCTATGTTTCTGAAGAAAAAGGCACAACTACCTATATTGAATAAAGCCTGAACTATGAGAATGGAAGGAAAATCACAGTATAAATTTGTACCCGATTCTGGTGTTCGAACGATTGCACTGTCAATATAACCTGCTTCGGTAGTAACTGCAGAAACTTCAAAAAGGTAAGTAGTGTATGGTCTGAGATTAGCCACAACAAAGCTGATAGGTTCATTCCAGACAGAGCTCATTTTGTTAGGAGCAATTGTGCTTGGGATAAATGCAGTAGTTTTACTAGGAGTAGTTGAAGGAGTGGTAGTGCTCCACAAAAAGGATTCACTCTTATCCTGTAAAGACAAAATAAACTCACAAGAATTTATTTCATACTAATACGTATGCACTAAGAGACATCCAAACCAATGTATCTTAAATACAGGCAAAAGAAAACACATACCAGGCAGAAACACACATGCATACATGATGTGTAATACATTTAACTTTAACTGCTGACAAACAATTTATTCTTTCATTGACAACCATCAAAATACAGGCCATGCCAAACGATGCAGCTGAGACTGTTGATTTTGGTGCCAAGACTAGTAAATTAGCATTAATAGACAGATGTTTGCACAAGAGAACCAATTCTCCATTTCTAATGAAGCATATCAAAATTATGTTTCTAGCACTCTCGATTCAAATTAGAGGACTGGGCCACAAATGCTAAATGTTGTTGAACAGTGTGGCTTGTAATTGCAAAATAATATGTAACAGAATTGCACCATTAGTGTAATACACAGTGTTGCTGTGTAAGTAAACAATATTTTCAGGGCAAAACAAGGCTGACTTTCTCAACAATCTCTACACCATCAGTGCAGCAAAAGAGACAGAAAACTGCAAATCTCATGACTGAGATAGGAGCCCCCAGCAACTCTTAGGTCGTGGAGTAAAGCTTTATCTGCCACATCAGGTATTTGAGACACTATGCCAGAGCTGCTCTGCTCCTATGCTGTTGAAAAGAAATGGGTATCAGATCTTCCTATATGAGAGGATAAAGTTCTTTTTAGTCTCCCTTCAATTTTTTTTGCTATTTATGTTTATTTTATTTGAATGAAAAATATAATCTCTCTATCATCCCCTAGGGCAGTGGTTCTCGACCTGTGGGTCCCCAGATGTTTTGGCCTTCAACTCACAGAAATCCCAAAAGTTGGTAAACTGGCTGGAATTTCTGGAAATTGTGGGCCAAAACACCTGGGGACCCACAGGTTGAGAACCACTGCCCCACTGCCCTAGGGTGTTTTGCCATATCATCCTTCAACAATTAAAGAAGTAAAGGTAAAGGTTTCCCCTGACACGAAGTCTAGTCGTGTCTGACTCTGGAAGGTGGTGCTCATCTCCATTTCTAAGCCGAAGAGCTGGCATTGTCCATAAACGCCTCCAAGGTCATGTGGCCAGCATGACTGCATTGAGTGCTATTACCTTTCCACAGAAATAGTACCTATTGATCTCCTTACATTTGCATGTTTTTGAACTGCTAGCTTTTCAGAAGCTGGGAATAACAATGGGAGCTCCCCCTGCTCCCTGGATTTGAACTGCCGACCTTTTGGTCAGCAAGTTCAGCAGCTCAGCAGTTTCACCAAGGGCTCCTCAACAGTTAATAGGGTCAAATAATTGTATATTCGAAAGGCTTAATCAAATAGAAAGGTCTTTCCTTGGTGGTAGGAGAACAACAAATAATTAAATAGGCCTCTCTGGGGAGGCATTTGACAAGTATGGGACCACCACCGAAAACTCCCTTTCTCATGTCACATAGCAGGGATGCCCATAGGAAGCCATTTACTAAAAATGTTAAGTAGATATATACAGGGGAAAGCAGTGCTTGTGTTAAGGCAGCTAATACAAATTATCACAATCAAACAACCTTTAAAGCAGAAATGCCCTTTGAATTTGTCATTAATTTTTATTTTACACATTTATATCCTACCTTTCTTTCAGTAATAGAACTCAGTACATTTTTGGAACAATACAAATTAAAAACACTAAAAAAACATTGATAAAATTAAGAATATAAGATTTAAAAACAAATTAAAGATCACTTTAAAGCGAGAAGAGCTATGCTGTATCAGACCAAAGGCCTATCTAATTCAACATTCTGTTCATATAAAAGATGAATAGAAATGAATGCATCTGCAGCTTTGATTTCACATTGCTCAGCAATCTAATCAATCCACAAAAGCACGTCCACAGGAAAAATTGATGGCCATTCTTACTTGAAAAACAACACACAAACAAATAAAAACTTGTGTCTATCACTACTTACATTACATTCTGGCAGCCTTCCAGACAGAAGGTCCTCCACTTTGACAGAAACATCTTTCACTACTATCCCGCTTCTTGCATGCTTCACACTAATTTTGAAACTGGTTATTTTTCCATTGGGCTGTCGAGGTAGAAACCAAATCAGATTTACAGCTGAATGGTTGATCGCTTCAACTGTTAGATTCACCACTTTGCCTGGAGCTTTTAAAACAAAACAGATTTCAGAAAGTAATTTTTTTCCAATTTATTGTCGAAGGCATTCATGGCCGGAATCACTGGGTTGTTGTAGGTTTTTTCGGGCTATATGGCCATGGTCTTGAGGCATTCTCTCCTGATGTTTCGCCTGCATCTATGGCAAGCATCCTCAGATCCAATTCACCATCAATGACCAGTTCAGGGAAAGCGAGTGGACTTTGCTTGTGTCACAACCACTGCTGCTCCTAGCTAGCTACAGAGCTCCACCTGAGCTCCTAGTGATCATCTGTCATGTGTGGGATGTCAGAATGGAGTGTCCATGTTTTCAGCAAGAAGGAAGGGAAATTGACCTTCTTCTTACTGGTCACATGGAACCCATGTTCTAACGTCAGTAGAGTTGACCATGGTGGCCAGTTGCTGGGATGGCACTCAATGGCTTTATAGGATGGGTGGTAGTAGTGACACAGAGGAGGTAACAACCCAAGAAGATGGATGTGGACTCAGGCCATCTAGAAAAAGGCTCTAGATTCAGTACACAACTGCTTCAAGGGCAGATTTGTACTAAGCTAATCTGCCACTTTAAATACCAGTTCCCAATGTTATGGAGTCCTGAGATTTGTAGTTGAATTGGCCCAAGCATTCTTTGGCACAGAAGGCTAAAGATCATGGAAAACTGCCATTCCCTGATCCCATAGTATTAATTCTACAGCATATACGCACCCCCCCCCCCCCAGTTTTCAGCAAATTCTCTAATGTCTACTACCCAAATTATCATATTGTTCTATATAACACCAAAAAAACCCAACATTCTTCTAAAGCTAACAAGCTAATTAATACATAAAATTGAATATCCAGTTACCACTTTCTGCAGTCTGAAAGAGAAATGGGTCACTAAATACTCCAATGCCAGCAATATTTTGAGCAGCAACCTGAAATTTAAAAAAAAACAAAATTATTTTCAGGTAACAATTCCTAGACAAATATAACCTACTGTATATCACTGTATGCTAAAAACTCTAAAAGGCTGAAGCATTTTCTAGCAGTGTTCACAATGTAATCCTGATCTTTCCCTAATATGACATCCTGAATCTTGCCAACATGGGTTGAGCACTGGACTGTGGCTCTGAATGCCAATGTTGGTATTCCCACTTGTCCATGGAAAGAAACTGGGTGAACTTAGGCAATTTACACTTTCTCGGTTTCAGGGGGAGGCAAAGACAAACTGTCACAGGACAAAACCTGACAAGAAAATCTGAAGGCAAGATGCAGGAGATGCTGATTTAAAATAAAATGAAACAGAAATTCAAATGGAGGTCAAAAGGGGGTGCTAAAAACATAGCAAATTTTCTTCATTTAAAAAAATCACATTTTTTGTTTAACCATTGGGGTGGAGGCCAAAAACAGTCTTGACAACAGCAAGAAAACTTTCTCTGCCCTTATCGACAACAAGATCAAATCCAGGCTTTGAATTCATACCTGAGATACTTTATGCATGATGAAGTTAGCTGGCGTGATAACTACATTCAGTTCAATGTCCCTACTTTCATTATTAGAAATAACAGTGTATAATACAACGCAAAATGTCCACATACAATTATTCATATACAATTTTTACACTCTTGATACAAATTTTCAGGATTATGGAAATTAAGATATACACAGGTACATTTGCACATGTATATTTGTGACTTCTATTGTGCTGAATGCATTGAGAGGAGTAGCATGCATACACATAGATAGTAATACTTTTATTCCAAACCCAAAAGCAGTTTGAGTGATTTAATTCTTTCAGTCAATGGAAAAAATATTTATGAAAAGGAGGGAGGGTGGGAACAAAGAATAAAAATGTTACTGTAGTCAAGGTTAAGCTTGCAATTGTACAAGAGCAGAATAAAGGGAAGCATAATTTATTTATTTATTTATTTATTTATTTACTATTCTTGTATACCGCTGTATCTCAAGCCCGAGGGCGACTCACAGCGGTTTCCAGACAGCAAACAACAAAGACAATAAAAACAGCAATAATTAATATACCATAACAGTTAAATTACACATTTCCATTACTAGCTAATAAACAAACATCAATACACAGTTATCACAAAACCCCCCCCGATCGCCTCATCATCCAAGCGTGATCCAAATTCGACGTCCATTGTTCCGTTCCTATGTTCAAATTACCAAAATTGCACTGAATTACTCAAACGCCTGCACAAACATCCAGGTCTTCAACTTTCTACGGAATGTCATGAGAGATGGTGCCAGCCTAACATCTACAGGAAGGGCGTTCCACAGCCGAGGAGCCACCACCGAGAAGGCCCTATCTCTCGTCCCCGCCAACCGTGCTTGAGAGGCTGGCGGGATCGAGAGCAGGGCCTCCCCGGAAGATCTCAAAGTCCGGGTGGGTTCATAGGCCGAGATGCGGTCAGCTAGGTATCTTGGGCCAGAACCGTTTAGGGCTTTATAGGCCAGTACCAACACCTTGAATTGGGCCCGGTAGCAAATCGGCAGCCAGTGGAGCTGGTGCAACAGGGGGGTTGTGTGCTCCCTGCGCTCCGCTCCTGTTAGAATCATGGCTGCCGCGTGTTGGACTAGTTGCAGCTTCCGGGCCGTCTTCAGGGGCAGCCCCACGTAGAGAGCGTTGCAGTAGTCTAGGCGGGATGTGACAAGAGCGTGTACCACCGTGGCCAAGTCAGACTTCCCAAGATATGGGCGCAGCTGGCGCACGAGCCTGAGCTGTGCAAATGCTCCCCTGGTCACTGCCGAGACCTGGGGCTCCAGGCTCAGCGACGAATCCAGGGTCACACCCAAGCTGCGAACCTGTGTCTTCAGAGGGAAGTGCGACCCCATCCAACACAGGCTGTAACCCTATACCCTGTTCGGCCTTGCGACTGACCAGGAGTACCTCTGTCTTGTCTGGATTCAATTTCAATTTGTTCGCCCTCATCCAGACCGTCACAGCAGCCAAGCACTGGTTCAGGACCTGGACAGCCTCCTTAGTAGCAGGTGGAAAGGAGTGACAGAGTTGGACATCATCTGCGTACAGATGACACCGTACCCCGAAACTCCGGATGATCTCACCCAGCGGCTTCATGTAGATGTTAAACAGCATGGGAGACAGAATAGAACCCTGAGGAACCCCACAAGACAATGGTTGTGGGGAAGAACAGGTGTCCCCCAATAACACCTTCTGGGAACGACCCTCCAGAAATGACCGGAGCCACTGCAAAACAGTGCCTCCGAGACCCATTTCCGCAAGGCGCCCCAGAAGGATACCGTGGTCGACGGTATCGAAGGCCGCTGAGAGGTCCAGAAGCACCAACAGGGACACACTCCCCCTGTCGAGCTCCCGGCGCAGATCATCCACTAAGGCGACCAAGACTGTCTCAGTTCCATGTCCCAGTCTGAAACCAGACTGTGCCGAGTCTAGATAATCCGTGTCTCTCAAGAATACCTGGAGTTGTGAGGCCACCACGCTTTCCAGGACTTTGCCCAAAAAGGGGAGATTGGAAACTGGCCGAAAGTTGTCAAATTTAGTGGGGTCCAGTGATGGTTTCTTCAACAGCGGTTTTATTATAGCTTGTTTTAAGCTCGCTGGAATTTTGCCTTCCCAAAGGGAGGCATTAACCACTACCTCCACCCACTCAGCCAATCCCCCTCTGGCCTCTTTTAGAAGCCAGGATGGGCAGGGGTCTAGGAATCCCCTTTTCCACAGCACTCTCCAATATCCAAAAGACAGCAAAACCTATTTTTTCATGTCAGGAGCAACTTGAGAAACTACAAGTCACTTCTGGTGCAAGAGAATTGGCTGTCTGCCAAGATGTTGCTCAAGGGACACCCAGATGTTTTACCATTCTCGTGGGAGGCTTCTCTCATACCCCCTTAGGAGAAGCTGGAGCTGACAGACAGGAGCTTACCCCACCCCCGGATTCAAACTGCCAACCTTTTGGTCAGCAGTCCTGCCGGCACAAGGGTTTAACCCATTGTGTCACCGGGGGCTCCTTCCAAAACCCTGAAGAACTAAAATCCCACTGCATCTGCACTGCATAAGCCATAGTATTGGGGTTATGAAAATATGATAGAAAATAAAGTTTCATTCTGTTTATGAAGTTCCTCATCAGTATACCCCATGGCTTGTATCCAAACCTACTCCTAACATGAGAGTTTTATATAATCTTCCACCCATATCCCATTGAAGCCACAAACATTATTTTGTGTTATCAAGCTTTAAGTTAAAAATAACAGTTGTTTCAATTTCTCAAAATTAAGCTCAACTATCTGCAATATGAATTGTATTGATGATACACTGATGATATGCTATGTCAATAATATATTGTTAGGCTTTGTAGTTTGAAGTTAATAATATCATATCTTTCTATTCCTTATCTAGAATGAATTATTAATGATCACAGACAAAATGGGGAGAAATAAAATAATAGTGCAGCATTTCTTTGTTAGGCATTTTCTTTGTGGTGATCAGGTAGTTAATGCTTTGGTAAAAATGAATATGATATGCTCTCATATCTGACTATTTCATACAACAAATATAACATTTTAATCTATTGTTTACAAGTAACTAGAAAGGTTACCTGAATTTCATAAGTTGTTCCAGGATTGAGATTGGTGAGAAGGACTTCCAAACTGTCGGGTTTAGTTGTAACTTGAGTGTAAGTATTTTGCCTCCAAGGGCAGACCTCCTTATATTTGACAATATAGGATATAATCCTCCCATTTGGATGGGATGGTGCATTCCAAGACAGAAGAATTCCTGCAGATCCCACTCTTTCCCCCGCAAGAAAAACAGGAGGTCCTGGATCTGCAGAATGACATCCCACCATTAAATTATTTCTCCAAATTTTCAGAATGAATGCATCATTTCTCAAAGTTCTTAAACAGTAAAGTTCAGTTAATGTGAATCTGGCTTTCTTTAAAACTCTTATGAAAGGTGACTGAATATAATTTGGAACACCAAGTACATTCTTTCCATAAGAATTCAAAAAATGGAATGTTGAAATATTCACAGACAAAATACACCCTGATGCCAGTTTAGTTTTCTCAAACATTTTACAAATGTATAAGGTTTTTGTAACTGAAGGTCTTTAAAGTTCTGTAAAACTGGCCTTTTCCAATAAATATGGGATTTTAAATTTTTTATTTTGCCAAATATGTTCTAAGCCGGGGCTTCTTCTACCTTTCCCAACTCATGACTCCTTTCCGCCCAAGAAATTTTTTCATGACAGAGAATATAAAATAGGCATAAAAACCCAAACATTTAATGAAATAATTCAGCTTTTCAAAGACTTGCTAAACAAGCATATTCTTTTTGTGAAATACAGCTGAAGCATTCTAACACTAAACGTTATTGCAAACAGATTTGTGTAAAAGTTCAGAAACTTTTTACTGTTGTCAAATTTTTCATGACCCCAACATTGGGCTAAGGGGCTTCCATTTGGGGTCAGGATACACAGTTTATGAAGCAATTTTCTAAAGAAAAATATATTGAAATTATTTGCAACGGGTGTGGGGGGGGGGTGACTGTATTGCAACTTCTGGCACCCACATGTATAGCCAGTGAACATGCTAGCTGATGAATTTTAAAAATTATAGTCCAAAATTTAATGTTTCCAGCTTTACTTCCTTGTGACATTGTTTGCACAGTTTTACATTTCAGTTAAACACAGGAACAGTTTTAGAAATAAATACTTTAAAATAATTTAACACAGAAATCAATAGACTCTAACAGAGAACTATTTATACCCTCAAAAGGAAATATTGCCATGAACTCACTAGTTACATTAGTTGTCACTGTTTTGCTGACAGGTGAGCTGTACACTGAAGAAGTAACAGAAGAAAGAGTCACACTGTACATTGTTCCAGGAGTGATGTCTGAAATATCAGCCTAGAATATGAAAATAACCAAGTTACAACTACTGGTATTCATTTAAGCACAAAAAAGAGCAAGTGTTAAATGCAGTGCATTAATACTATCAATTTTCACAATGTATATCACATTTTAAGATAAGTATATTAATTGCTCTCATTATTGCAAGATGGAAAGTGTCTATTAAGCCCAGATAAAAGGTAACATCAAAAAATATGAAAATCCCATCAACAAATAGTTTGTTCCAATGTTCTACCCTTTGATGGATTTGCAGATTTCTCATGCTAGCATCTTACTCCAAAACACACAATATTTTGTCCATCTCTGTTGAGAAACACTAGAAAAGCATGTAGAACTGTCATAGCTTGAAATATAACCAATAACATTCATATGAAATACCTGTGCCTTTACTGCTCCAATACAAAACAGAAGCAAAATAAAACAAAAAACCATGGTAGCTATATTATTATTATTTTGTTTTCAAATACTGGAATCAATGAGTGCTCCTATAACTTTGAGATGGCTTAAGAGGGAAATGCTGCCTGCATTAATGATTTAAGTCAAGATCTCCCTGGCAAGTACACAATTAATGAGCCTGTATTACTCAATAGCTCTGCCCTGCCTTTGTTAAACTATTCATGAACCCTTAAAGGACTGGCTAGAGGGCCGTGGCACACTCCGGAAAAGTATCATGACTGTTGTTAAGGCAACAAAACCATAGATGTTGAAATTTGCTCTCACAAATTTGGCATGTGTACTTTTGGATTCTCATCTAAGTTTAAAAGCTGAAAGAGAGAACGTCATGCTTGGCCAATTTTCCTATCAGCTCAGTACATAAACAATTGCTGACTATCCAAGCATCATAAAACAAAAACCCCCACATACCTGATACTCCCCACCTCCCACATCCTGGATAGAAACAAAGCCGTGAGGAGGTGTGAGACGCACATGAAATTTTTCCACATAGCCGTTCAGTAGTTTCCAGCGAAGAGAAAAGGAATGTGATGACATGTTGAAGACTTCTAACTTCTCTGGCTTTTCAGGCTCTTGAAGAGAATTTATATAAGCATTACTATTTCCAGTGGACATGTTTCCCACCAGAGGCAGCCAGTGGATCAATTGCTAAAGAGGTACCAAATCTACTCTCAGCTTTCTCTCAGCTTTCCAGGATCCATCCACATGCTTGGCCCTGTTTCTGACAGAGGTTTGGCACAAGAAGAGCTGCCATATAACCCACAACAGCTGTGGGAGGAACAGGCATTAAACCAGGAAAGGATTTGCTAGCAACTGAGCCACCAGCCACCCATTTTCTCCTTCTTCCTCTCCAAAAAGATATGGGAGACGTAGCCATAGTGGACATAGCTTCATATGTATGATGTATAAATTACAAATTTCATGTATAAATAACATTTTAGTATATATATTACACATTAATTAAAAACAATTTTGAACTGCAAAGGTTTTTTAAAAATGTAAACATGAATTTAAAATAATTAAGAAATGCATTGTATAAGACACAGCACACCCATTAAACATTGTTCTGCTCTAACCAGAGCCTTTCGTTGCTTGCTGGACCTAGGCATGATGGAGTTATATTGTGTGTGTGTCTTCAAGTAACCTGTTGACTTATGGTGACCCCATGAATTTTTCATAGGGCCTTCTTAAGCAATGAATACTCAGAGGTGATTTTAGCAATATTTTTCTATGTAACATAACCTACAGCACCTTCATTGGCAATCTCTCACCCAATCGAGTCAGAATCTGCTTAGCTTCCAACATCATACGGAATCTGGTCACATTAGAATATTTAGGCCTGGAAGTATTTTAGAAATTATTTCACAAAGTAGTTATATTTTTCCTATAACCAGTCTGAGTATGGTGACAGCATTTGCTGACATTCCTGATCAGTTTCCAAAGGTGGGTCAATGTAAGGTTACATTACAGTAATCTAAATAAGATGTAAACAAGACTTGGGTTATCATCTCCAAATCTCAAGGATTGAGTGCATCTAGTGTTATTCTTCACTGAACAAATGTGCTCCTAGTTACTGCTGAAAAGTAGATATTTATGAATAGGACTGAGCTTGAGATATTGGGAATAGTGGCCTATCCAGCATAAGCTGAATCCCTACTCTTTGATATGCTTTTCAAGTGAACAGAAAGATTTCTGTCTTGGCCAAATTGATCTTAACAGATTAATCCAACTGTATAAATACAATCAAAACCATACATAAAGGCTGTAACACCTTAATTTTCCTCAACAATTTTTTTGAATGTTCCAATCACTCCTTCATTTGTACCTAAAAATAACCAATCCTGGGGAAGGTGCTCACACAACAATCATACTTAAATAAAGAATGAAACCTGACCAATGGAAAAGCAAATCGGGTACAATTGGGAGTTCTCTGCAAAAATGCTTTCCTTTGATTACTGGGTAAAATAAAGCAATCCTAAGATCTGACATTTAAAATTGTTCTAAACCTTTTAATTGCATGTAGTTCCCATCCCAACTCAATGTAGACTCACAAATATGCAGAATAGTTTCCTCCAATGAAATAAATGGAGCACTATTGGAAACTGGCTAGCTCTGCATGTGTTCCCAAATTACTCTTCTGCAGGTTGCATCGGAGTATTGTAGCATCAAACAACTTTTTGCAGTTCTATCACAACCCTGAACATTAAGCATTTTTGTTGGATCAGCTTTCTCCAATTCTCCTTTCAAAAGGTTAACCAACCCATGTTTTCACAGACAACTCTTCAGAATTGATTATAATGGGCATATGTATTAAACAGCATGTTAATTGATAATAAACACAATAAGAGAGAAAACAGCAAACCTGCAATGATTTCAGTAAAGGCAATGGCACCATTTGCACTGCCTTTTACTCTCTGTAGTGTGAAGTTATAAATCCCACCAGGAATCAAATCTGAAATGGTGTGATGTGACTGAGATCCTAAAAGTGTATATTCCTTTCTGAAAGTATTGTTTGATACAGATGCTCTATAGTGGGTGAAGTTGGTCTTGCTTGGATTCCATATTAATGTGGCGGATGAAGTATTTACTGCTGTTATGTTTAGACCACATATCCCCATTGGTTCTGTTAAAAGAGAAAGAGCAGATGGAACTGTTTATGTAAAAATAAAGAAAATAAAGAAAACAACTCCCAAATTCGATGGAAAGATAATCACTCTGTAAACACATCATCCTAATGCACTTTAAAGTGGAGAAACAAGTTGTGTTTCATAGAAAAGACACCCCTGAAAATGTAGCTTGTGGTATGAAAAGTATCAAAGTGGTTGGTTAAACACGGCATATTAACATTCAAGAACAGAAAAATAGTTGCAACACGTAAGTTATTTATGAGTTTCATACATTTTTGCAAATTCAAAAAACTTGCTTGTTGTTTTAACAATGAAATCTGCAATTAAGCTGAGAGATAATGCCAATGTCCACAACTAAAATGTCTGTTTTTGTTTCCTCCCATACTTCCCTCTCCTCCTCCTTTTAAAATTTCTTATCCTCATTAAGACTTCTTGAAAATACAAAAACTTGTACACTGAGTTGATCTTAATAAAATTATTGCCTAGTTGTGGATTTTGAATTTATTATTGCTTTTTAAATGATAACTTATGGATCAATAACATTACTTCTATTTATGTAAAATCTTGGGAAAAAACTGAGGTATTCATACGTGGCTTTTGTTCTGTTTAATATGGAGTTGAATTGTAGGCAAGTATCATTTCTACCCAGTTAATTTATATTTTGTGCTTATTTTGTCTAAAGACATTTATACTATAGATTATTTCAAATAATGTGTCAGACAATTACTTGTTGTGACTTTTTTGTCCACAGCCACACTTAAATCTTTTCCTTTTATTGTCTTCAGTTGAAAGATGTACTCTACTCCAGGCATTAGATCTTTCACCACAGTTCTGCTACCACAAATTGTAGCAGTATGGAGAATATCACTGCTTGTTGCCAGTCCATATGAAAACTAAAGAAGAAAAACAAAATAATCTAAGTCAAATCCCCAGTAATACTACTGAAGGATGCAGTTTACAAAACAGCCCAAAAACAACAACCAACAGCTTGCACACAGATACATAAAAAATATGTACACACGCATATGTTGGAATGGATCAAAACAACCATGTATGTGTAGCAAATGGCAGCTAGCACTTACATCAGATATTACTGATCTGTGGGAACTATGGATAAGGAGTGGTACACAGCCCATAGGAAGCTTGTTTCCTGCCATCATTATCTCCACCATCATCTCCCATGCCAACTCCTCTGGCTGTTGGAAGGACTGACTGGACTTCAAGGCTTTAGACTTATATCCCAAGATTCAAAAGAATCATTGTGAGTACACATGGAGCTAGAATAAGCAGCTACACAAGCATGAAAGAAAAGGTTTATATTTACAGTGCCTAGAATTAGAAGGCCACAACTGTCCCAATTGGAAGATTGTCTTCCTTATACATTCCCTTTCACAGTATTAGACTTCCTGCCTATTTTGGTTATTAGATGTATTATGATAACTATTTTTCAACCAAGGAAGCTCAAGTAGACAGTGGACACTTACCCATTGTGACAAGATATAAGACCTAGGAAAAATAATGATTCAAGGCTGTGAACTGGCCAAAGTTTTAAGAAGAATGCCTAAAGGCTGATATGAAACTCATAAATGGACAAGAAAATGAAAATATGGTCATAGGGATGAAGAATTTCTGAGCAGAAGTCTTTGCCTGTGCCAGTGTATTGATAGTCCCAACATAGATTTTAGTAGAATAATTGCTTCTTCAAATTATAACTAATTATGGAACATTAAAGTCAAAGTAGTAAAAGAGAAACAAATTACTAAAGCATTTTTTAATTGTCTTCACACCATCAATTCCTAACCATGTAATGAAAATTGGATGAGCTGGGATGATTAATTTTAAATGGCTGGGAAAATGATCCTATTTGTGCAGGTGCATTTTGCTAAGCAACCATGCTTCTAAAGCCTCCCTCATTAATATTTCACACTTAATCTCATTTATTCAGAAGGAACATAGTCTAGCATGGCTGCTTGCTCTGCAGTATGTCAAACAATAACATGACGTAATTATGATTAATATTATATGACCCTTTCTTTCCATAACACATTAAAAACATCTTTACAAAGTACATTTTCAAAACTCTTGTCTGCATGCAGGCACACACACACACACTTAAAGACAAATTTAGATTAGGACAAACATTAATATTTTTCTTAACCTGCCAGGCCAAAAGGGGTGGTAATAAGGTAGAAGTTGAATAATTCTATGTAAGACAATCATCTTTTTTATATTAGGTTATAGTTTTAAAGGAAAGAAGACAATGGAGGCAGGAAAGAGCTTCTTGACTATTTTTTCTTGAACATTTCTTTCTCACAGAAATCACATACACATCAGAGAGATTAAGGATGTATCTATGCCTACTGAAAAAATCTGATGTAATGGGCTCCAGAACTGCTCCAGTACAGCCCCAGGAGTGTTACCAGAGCCCTTTGATTGTCCGCATGGTCAGTCAGTCTGAAGGTACATTGGGGTCATACCACCATTGCATATTTACCAGTAAGTAGCTCTCTCTCATCACATTTCTGGTCACCTGGCTCAGTGCTCAAAATGACATCACCAGAAATGCAATATCACCAATCTCTGCTAGTGATGCAGTGGCAGGTCCACTGGCCAGGTGGACAGTGGATTGGGTCAGATTCAGATCAATCCAACTGTCCACAACTTCTAGGAAGCTCTGAAGTAAATCCTGCATTCCCTTGACAAAGAGTAACAGCTGCAAATCCAGCTGTGCATTTGGTGAACTCACAGTAGCAGAGCAGTGTGTCCACTCTTTTTGGCAATGCAGATGTGCCCTAAGATAATGAAGTTGGTAGCACACACTTTTTGTCAACTAAGATATTCCAGACTAACACAACTATTAGGGTTGTAGTTTCAGGGTAAACCTTACCTTGTTCCATGTCCAAGCTTTCGTTGTCCCAATCCATGTTTCAGAGGCTCCCGAAATCAGGAGGGTTGCTTTTGGTTTGGGGCCCTGAAAATTGGACCATTATTGGGGGGGGGAGGGGGGCTTCACACCCACTGGCTCCCCTATCCAGTGTGTGCTTCTGTTCATCTTACTTGATACCTGCTGTTTCTATTCTAGAGTAAGAGGTGCTCAGCTGCAGGCACACTTCATGCCTGCCTGCATGCCTGGAAATTGTGTGCACATGTCAGTGCCTGCAGACAATCACCTCTTACTCTAGAGTAAGAGGTGCTCAGCTGCAGGCATGCTCCAGGCCTGCCTGTGCGCCCTGCCACATATGCACTCTCTTTCCAAGGCAAGGAAACAAGTTTGGCTGCAGACAAGAGCAGGCTTTTAGTGTCAAGCAGAATTTTCATGTGGGGAGGGGGCTTTCCATTTTGTGATCTCGAAGAAACAGAAGACACAAAAAAACCAGTAGAAGTGGTGGGAACAAATTCCGCACACAATTTTAAAGGCTATGTCTTTTCATTCCACACACATTTTTATTATGCCTGAAAAAATGATATGGGTAAGAGCAAATACCAATATGCCTTTGTTTGATACAATATAATGTACACAGTAGAGGAAATAATTATTTCTTTTTATGTTCTTTTCCTTACTTCAAAATTATTATAGTTTCCATCAGGCAATTCCCATGACAGATAAACTGTTTTTTCTTCTATTCCAAAAGCTTGCAAATTAAAAGGTGGAGCTGGATCTGAAGGGAAGACATGTAGATATTTAGTATTAAATTCATTTGCTAATATTGAAGAAATACAAATTTTTGGAAACAATATTTCAAAATGAATCAGAATTTACTTTTCATACTTGTGAGTCACACAAATAATATTTAAAAGTGAATTAAAGTTTAGGGTTTCTTTGTATTTATAAAACATACAGAATAAATATATCCAGATTGTGTTTTTCATCTAAAGTATAACAGTATACGCTACACAATGTTGTGTGCATTGTGACTGTAAGTATGAATATTACATATACAATGTTTTGCTCTGATGATAAAAAATAGGATAAATGTTCCAGTAACATTTAGTATTATCAATTGGGTTGATAAACAAAAAATCCTAAAAGCAAAGATAATTTTCGAAGAACACAATAAACAAAATTCTTCATTAATTTTGTTCCCATATTTTTCATGAGAAAAATGAATAATTTATGAAATTCTCTTCCTGCTGAAAAACATCTTCAGAAACTGCAATTTACTCTCACAGTGCAGAGAAGATGAGCTGGAAAGCTAATTTCCTCACACGAGCGCCACAATTTGTCAATATTGCCCTGCCAATATGGCTATATAGCAAAGGCAAGGAGAGGGAAGGAAACAGTCAAGAATTCTCTGGCAATGTCTCGAAGATGAATGCACAATAATATCTTATGGGATTTTTCAAGTCCTTTTTCCCAGGAGGTCCATGAGAATATTGACAACTCATTGAGCATCTAGCTGTCAGAATTATCTTCAGTTTCCCTTTGTCTTCTTTGACCACTATAATGCAATCTCTGAGAAGGATGCATTAAAACAGCAGGTCTCTGGGACAACATATGGACCTCCCATTTCTTAAAACAATCACCTGCATTCTTGTTTATGAACAGATCTAAAAGTGGGGAAAAATATTTGATTTTACTGAAATTGCATGTAAATCTAACTTAATTTTTATATAAGGATTTATACACTATACTTCACAAGAATTTTTCTAATGTGGCTTGGCTACAGTTGGAAATAAAACACAAATCTTTAAGAATATCTTTAGGAAAAATCTGTAGCAACTGGTGGTGCCCATGTCAATAGAATACTGAATTCACTCCAGAATCTAGGCTGAAATGTCAAGGAGCTGTTTAATGGACTGAACCTGTTTGGGGAACAGACTGCAGCATGTTGGACAGCTCTTTTAAAGATTGGGTTAAAAACTGCAGTATATTCACCATCCCACTGTCATGGAACATACCAGTGATCAATGCAATGAACTGCTAACACCCATAGAAAGGCCCACTGGGGCATAATTGATAATTGAATTTATATATTATAAAATGAACTTACTGGTGCTTACTTCCAGAGTGGTAGGGATGCTTCTCTTTAATCTATTAGTAGTGATAACTGTAATAAAGTAATCAGTTCCTGAAGTAAGACCATCAAAGGTGACATTTCTGTATTGTTAAGAAAAATATAACCTGCTTAAAGAGGTTGAAAGTACAAATATTATAGCTATACAATAACCAAAGATTAATCAAAATTAGATAAAGTTAAACTATACTGTCAGTCTTCCATATCCATGGATTCTGTTCCCATGGATTCAACTAACTACAGCCCCAAAATATTGAGGGGAAAGAGAATCCAGTACTTATTTGAGTTGTTCATCATTTTATAAATGAAATACCATTTCACCATGCCATTGTATATAATGGGAATTGAGCAGCCACAGATTTTGGTACACACAAGGGGTCATTTTACCCATGGGAGGTTCATTTATTTAATGACTTAAACCATACCTTCAATTCTAACAAAAAGACTAGAGAAATTTTCAGACTGACAACCACAACATGCTACCCAACCATACTAATCAATAAAAAGTACTATCTGATCTTCAAACAATACCTTGCATCTGAAGATAACCTTTCTTCTTTACTGTAGCTTTTGCAAGTCAATGTAATGATGTATCCATCACAGCCACCCATTGCTGGTGGCCAGGTAACAGTTATTGACCCAGAGTCTTTACTGAAATTTATGTACCTAACTGAGCTCGGCACTGTAAAAAAAAAAGAAAAGAATAGGATTATAAGAATTAACAATCCAGCCCCTAACTTGCCCCAACATTAATTAGCCCCAACCCTAGAAACACTGAAGATGCAGTTGGGGCCACCTCTCAACAGTTCTTTAAGAATATAATCCCTGGTGCCCTGAGGCCCAAGGTGGTAATATTTGGTCAAGTCCAAGTCTCCAATAATTCTTTACATAATAGGATCTCTGTGAGATTTTGTGAAGTCTGAAGTAATCATGTATGACATACATATAATTTGTCATATCTTTACCTGTCTCTATTTGTATGCTCACAGGAATGCTGTCCTTGTATCCTTCTTTTTCTGTTTTGATTGTAAAATTATACAGCAAGCCTGGGATCAAACTGGAAAATTCTGCCATTTCTTTTCTGACCTTTTGGACCTGAATTCAAAAACAGAAAGGGGTGTTATCTTTATGGCTTTGTAGGTGTTTGTGTGTATATCTGCATGGTTATGTGCACACATGTGCTTAATGCACAAAACACGGTGACTTCATTCTATGCATACCAATAACATGGTTTTATGGGGTTGGAATATGCAATCATACATAACATATGCCTATGACTTTATTCTGAAAATGTTCTTCAGTTTCCCAATATACATTACAGTGCTCCTTACCCATTGATGTGGTTGACCACCCATATGGTCCTGATGTGTGTGGGAAAAGTACCATAGTGGTGGCATTGGCTGCAATTGTTTCTTTCCTTGAAATTCAGTAAGAACTAACAGCCAGTTGCCCACAGGCCACCCATGGTCGATGAGTACTGCTGCATTGCAGAACATGTCTATGTTGATCAGCAGAATTTAACTATCTGCAAATACTTTCCTTTGCTATATGTGTCTTGTAGTTGAACAACACAAGAACTAGATCAAGGGTGAGAGAAATGTGTGTCTGTATGCACTCATATATCATCAGTTGGGATATAAACCAGAAACCCATCAGTAAAGTGCTTGCTTGGATTCGTGTCTCTTTAAAAAATGCTATAATTCACTTGACAGCAATAACTTGCTTATATATCACTGCTGTTTTTAAACGTACCATGAAAGTACCTGCACAGTTTATGCATATGACTTCATACTGCTGAAAGTTTCCAGCTGCCTGATCCCAAATAATCTGTATTGAAAGATCTGTAACTCTGCCTTCACGTACATTTAGTGGTGCTGCAAGACCTGCAAGGTATGTTAAAAATCCACATCACACACACATTTTTTTTCATGTCATAAGGAAAAGCTGAAGTGGATGAGTGTTTAAGCCCTTTGAATCCCCGCCATTGCCAAATGCACTAACACAGATCTTTCACCAACATGTTTCTGCTCCAATTTATGATTTATATTTTCAAAACTAGTTTTTGCAAAAGCTATACGAATAGCAGTAGAGGCAGCAAAGAAATGTTTTGAATAGTAGAAAGAACACATAATGTACCTACCAATACATCTCTATATTGACTTAAGCAGGTAGCCAAATATAGGTTAAACATAATGCTCCCCCATTAAGAATTTGGCTATCTGCTTAAGGCAATATAGAGATGCATTGATAGGTACATTTTGCCATAATTTGTATGAATTGTATGAAGTGTATTTTAATGTATTTTATATTGATGACCTATAATGTTTTTCTTATTGTATTGAATTTTATGTTGTTAGCCAGCCTGAGTCCCTCCCCGGAGGTGAGAAGACCAAGGTATAAAAACTCTAAATAAATAATAAATAATACATCACGTGTTCTTTCTAGCCATGTGTTCTTTTAGTCAAAATATCAACCCAAAATTAACTGTTATTTTTTAAAAAGAACTATCCTCTTTCCATGAGTAATTTGTGAAAAGCAAGAGCTTTGTTCATCCTGAGAGAACCCGAAAGGTTCACCAGCCCATCTACTCTTTCCAGCATGGCACCTCTTCTGGCCTTTTTGATACCTACGTAGGTGGAAACTTGTGGAGGCAGCCAAGAGCAGCAAGCTGGCACTTTCCCTTCTCCGTGGAATAACTCTAGATTCATCATGTCAAAATCCATAATTTTGGCCCCAAAATGCATCTTTGACTTATACACTAAGTCAACGTATACACAAGCATATATGGTATATATGATCCCACAATGCACCAATCTACACATTTAAGACTAGCAAAATGAAAGATGTTTAACAAGCTATGTCTATGAAATTGCATATAGGTATTAATAGACAGCTATTAGATAATAATAGGTCTGCAACAGCAATGTGTGTCAGCAGCTATTAACACAATTTAATTAGAAATGGCACATGCAGGTAGTTGTAAAGTATCTTGTTATAACACAAAAAAATAAATGAACTGGGAAACTTGAATAAAAATAATTTCATATTGAATTACAGGAATGCAGTCATATAACTTACATGTTCTGACAGCTGGCAAATGGTATGCAGAACTTAACATATAACCACTAGTTGTGGAAACAAAGAAGTCATATTCTGTGCCTGGGATTAAGTTTTCTACAGTTATTTTTCTATCAGTTGATAAAGTCAGTGACTTATTAGGACCTCCTTTACTTAAAACATGTATGCCATCAGCTATTCCAACAGCAGGCATTTGAACAAACAGTACCACAGAATTATTGTGAATTTCATACGGGATGACAATTTGTACTGGTTTTGGTTCTAGAAAAGTAAAAGACAAAAAAGCGAAAACAAAATCAAACATATCATTTCCAAACAGCTAAAAAGGAAAATATTAAACATAGATCAGATATTGTAATGCAGGATGAAATAAAGTGGATATAGCCAGCCCTTCACATTCATATGGATTAGGGGTACAGAACTACCACCACCCAAATTGGGAAAATTGTGAATATCTTAAGTGCCCTCAAACAATATTTAATACACACACAAAAAATCAGGACCTTTAATATTGTTCCCATTGAAATTAATGTTAAACATACCATTGGCTTCTATAGGTGCTGATGGCAATTATTAATTGACCACAAAATGAAACCACTGGATAAATTAAAATTTTAACTCTGAATATTATTATTATTATTTTTAAAATACACGTGTAAATATTTAAAATCAATCTTACTAAGCGTGCACTGAATGGTACTCAGTTCACTCTTATTTCCATTGGTCACAGTAGCCACTCCTATTTCATAAGTCATTCCAGGTATAAGGTTTTCAATTTTAAATTTCTCTGTATTGGTCACTAAAACTGACATGCTTTTATCCTCAAACATTGCAGCAGTTGCTTGAATATAGGATTCCTCGCCCTCTTGTGGCAGTTTCCAGTAGACAATTACATGGGTTTCTCCTATGTCCTCTGGATGAATGAATACATTGGTGGGTGGGCTGACACCTAAGCAAACAAAAACAAACACACAACGGTATGTTTATTTATTTATTCATTCATTTATTTCTTATTCTTTAACTAAATTATGTATTGTTCTATATATTTAATTTGCTCCTGTGCAGTGGAAGGTTAAAACATTGAATTGCAAACACTAAAATATAAAGTATTCCGTATGCAATTATATTCTAAATGTGTTGTTAGGTTCTTCAAATGTTCTAAATACCCTAAAGGCACTAGACCCCATAGAAGCTCATTAGTACTTGGATGGGTGACTAGAGTTTCTAAGTTATATTTCAGAGGAATGAACTGTCAAAATGACTTGAGTGTTTCTTGCCTAAGAAAACACTATGAAATTCATGGGGTCACCACAAGTTGGCAGTCAACTTGAAGGCACATACATTCATTCAAGCTCTTGAAGCAGGCGGTATATGAGAAAGTTAACATTATTTGGGGGGGGGGTGGCTTTTGGATTTCTCTCTCTAATTTGAATAACACACTGATGAAATGTTTATGCATTGATTCATCCACACACACAACACATGAAAACTGTTTAAAATGCTCATATTCTTTATTGGCTGCTAAATATAGAGGAAAATTAGTAAAGGTTTACCCTTGACATTAAGTCTAGTCAAGTCCGATTCTGGGGGGAGGGGGGGTGCTCATCTCCATTTCTAAGCCAAAGAGCTGACGTTGTCTGTAGACAACTCCAAGTTCATGTGGCTGGCATGACTGTATGGAGCGCCGAGACATTCCCACAGAAGCAGTGCCTATTGATCTACTCACATTTGCATGTTTTCAAACTGCAAGTTTGGCAGAAGCTGGGGCTAACAATGGGAGCTCACTCCATCCCGCCAGATTTGAACTGCTGACCATCTGGTCAGCAAGTTCTGTAGCTTAACAGTTTAACCCACTGTGTTACCATGGTCCATATACATAGACATGTATATTTTATAATGCTTTTGACATACTTTGATTACTATAAATTTTAATCAGTACACATTAAAAAAATTAGTCACTGAATTAAGTGTGGTGAATCAAACTTGTTTGACTGCATGCTGAATTGCAATCACTAGCAACTGATGTTTTCATCATCCACGCATTCGTATCTTTCCTTCTGAGCTCATCTTTCCTTTCCATCATCCCCTCATGTGTACATGTGGATCTCCTTAATGCAGAAACAGTTAAATCTAATAGTGTACGTATTGTAGTTTACAAAACTGGAATTTCATACCTGTTATTACGACTATAGGGTCTTCATAGCAGCTATGAGTTCCTTGTTCAGACACACTTTGAAGATGTAACTGATACTGATGGTATGACTTGACACTTCTAATTACAGCAGTAGTGTTAGTTTTTCCAAAAGTAAATGTTTCCCTTTTTGCTGCTTTGTTGTCAAAGATGCTAACCAGATAGTGATGAAAAGATGCATCACATGAGCTTTCTGGAATATCCCATTGCAAAACTATTTCTGAGGATGTCACCTGTGTTGCCTTTACATTGTGCAAGTGTAATGGCCCTAATGATTACAAGACAGCAAAATATCATTCTGAGGCAGAAATACACTGAGGGATAGGCAATAAGCAAAAGACAAAGAGGAGACAGTTTTCAACCTGTGTTATGAATGGTTGTGGTGGAGTTCTTAGGAGGCATTTCTGTTTTTAAAAGCATTATTTTAATATTTATATGGGATTTCCACTTCTAACAATATCAAAACTTTAGCTTGTGCAAGTAGCTTTTTTCCATTTCTATACTGTCCATATTCTCCACAAATCATTTTAATTTAATTTAATTTATAAGGGGAAAACTGCCAAAAAATGGATAGAAAAAGTTGTGTAAGCAAAAAAATTATTCAAGCAAGCTGCCTCCAGCAAATTTTGGGCCATTCATTCTCCTTCTGCCACTTACTATATGCTATTAATCATACACTATTTGATTTATTTTCTAAGTTGAGGCTACATATAACTTAGTTCTGTCAATCAAATTACTAAAGGTTTATCACATACTTATAAACATAATTCTTTAGAAAGCTATTTAAAATCTCCATTGAAAATGTTTCTTGAAGATAGTTATTTTTCCTTCATTTTTTATTGTTGGCCTGGGGTTCAAATAAATAGTTTCCACTTGATAACAATATCAATCAATATTAACTCTAAAATTTAACAGACCTGCGTGCCTCATTCAAATGGACCAAAATGACAAGGTAGGAAAAAGAATTATAGTGGCATTATTACAATTTTATTCATTCATGCATTCATTTTCTCATCCATTTAAAGGATATTCAAGCAGAGGTACAGCTTAATGCCTAGAGACCCAGGATAAGTACAAATGTCCTTTGTAAGCTTGCCTGCTATCATCTTGGCTTTTATTGAATGGTTTGAAGGTAGGGCAGTAGCAGAAATGACATCCCTATTGACCAGAGGCCTGAGGTGATTCCCAGTAGCAACTTTATCTATGCAAGAATCATCTTGTACAGCAAGAGTGAGGAATGACTATCTCAGGCCTTATCTCCACTGGTCAGTTAATCTGGTGCTAATCTAGAGCAGAAATGCCCTGGACTGGTCCTGGAAGTTGCCATATGCCTCATCCTAAGCCTGCAACAGCAGTGGGTCAGAATCCAGTTGGTCCTGCTGGTTTGAGACTACATTGGCCCTGCTGGACCTTCATCTTATCATCCATATCCCCATCACCACTCCAGAAATCTGTAGAGCTATGTGGGCTTCTGGATATCATGGGCACCATGTGCTGACAGTTTTTACATACATTAACATTAACAAAGAACACATATGTTTAACATGTGCATTGAGTTTTATTATTATTGCAAAACAACTTACTTGTTTCTGACATGATGACAGGATGTAGAGTAATCTGAGCTCCTTCAAAGTTCCTTGCTGACAACAAAAAATTATAAAAATAACCTGGGCATAAATTCAGAATTTTTGTAGATGTTGCATTTAGCAAAAAAGTTTCAAAATATTGGTCTGAATGTTCAAAATAGTATTTAAGATTGATCTGAAAATCTGAACAAAGCCAACCATTCAAATTACTCCAGACAAGGGCTGCTTCATTTGTGCCAATATCTTGCATCTTAAATGTGAAGTTTTCCGGAACAGAAGGTACTGAAAAGGACAATATAAATTCTTTAAATTTAAATACAATTTCTACACAGCTAACTTTATTTTCTTGTTTTAAAAAAGTTGTTTAGTAAAATGTTTAAAGTTGATAGAATAATTACACTCATATTTGCAAATATATGGCAATGGAATAAAGCAGAAAAAACCCACGAAGAAATACTCTGGGCTAGTTGGATTTCTTTGGAAAGCATAGCAATTTGTCTCATTTTCTGGTACCATTGCCAAAGAACGGAGTTCAGATTTCCCAAGATACAGAGAACCATCTGTCCAAGAAAATTGTCCTTCTTCCTGAAAAAAATATATAATCAGTGTAATTCATTTCTTATATTATGTTGCAATATTTATGAATTGCTTTCCAACAGTAGATGTATATACATTTTAGCAATTGTTCTGCTTTGTCTTGTGTTTTATCATATCTGTTTTTAGAAAAAAAATCTTCCCAATCATACGATACAATTTTACTAAGATGTAAGATTGTATAATACATTTTTGGCTCTGTTCCATTATCCAAGCAGAGGCCACTAGAGTGTGCTAGAGTGAGAAGAATAGTCCATTTTATTTGGGGGGGGGGGAGTTGAAGGAGGAAAGCCATTCCCCCAATTTTTGCTGGTTATTCCCCCTTCCCATATCATAAACAAGGGTTGTTTCCACATCTGGGACATGGGTGGGCGGAATAACAGGAAAACAGGGGGAAATTGTTTTCCTCCTTCAACCACCCTCCTCCCCATAAAATGGACTAGTATCCTTCTCCCTCTAGCACTTCCTAGTGACTTTCACCCGGATAATGATACAGTACCCATTTTTTATACTGTGCAATATAAATACAGTTATTTCCTGCAAGATTCTTATGACATTTTAGGGATAATTTTATGGAATAAGATTTTATGCATTCTCCACTTAGATCCCTAAAATTCATAAGGATGTGTTGCAACTGTTGATTTTAGTCATTGCCATTAAAGTAATTGCAGTGCAACCCCCATACTTATGGGGGATACAATCCCGAAATGCATATGGATACACAAAAACGCATATATTAGCAAAAACTATTGAAGTGACATGGTACCATCTGCATATCTAAGGTTGTTAATGTTTCTTCCAACAATTTTAGCTCCAGCCTTGGAGTCGTCAAGCCCTGCACATCGCATCTGCATACAAGTTGAATAGGTCAGGTGAGAGTATACAGCCCTGCCGTACTACTTTCCCAATCCTGAACCAGTAAGAAAGGCTGAGCAAAGGAAGATAGATGCTTTTGAGCTGTGGTGCTGGAAGAAAAATTCTGAGAGTACCTAGGACTGCTAGAAGAAGTCCATACTCCAGGAAATACAGCCCGACTGCTCACTGGAGGGAAGGATATTAGAGGCAAAGATGAAGTACTTTGGCCACATAATGAGAAGACGGGAAATCTTTGAGAAAACACTGATGCAGGGGGAAATGGAAGGAAAAGGAAGAGGGGCAGACCAAAGGCAAGATGAATGGATGTTATCCTTGAAGTGACTAGCCCGACTGAAGGAACTGGGGGTGACCATGGCCGACAGGGAGCTCTGGCGTGGGTTGGTCCATGAGGTCAGGAAGAGTCAGAAGCAACTGAACAAATAAACAACAAATTGAAGTGAATAACTTCTGACCAAGAAGACCATAAAGTCATGCTGGAGATTGAACCTAGATAATATCTAGAAAGAAGGTAATGAAACCACAGATATGATCACACAAATATGGGGGCTGTACTATATCACTGCATTTTTAACATTTAAGTCTCCTGTGATCCCAGTGATTACAATGCCCCATTCACCCAACTAGCTATAGAGTAATTTACTAACTGAAATAATATTTTTCAGCATCTGATGAAATGACTTGAATGCTACAAAATCTTTCTCTATGGTAATAGTAGCTAATATTTTTGCCATGAAACTTTGTTTCAAGAAATAGAATGGCAGTTTTTGTAGTTCACTGTGTGGTTTTGCAATATATAAAGTTCCTGCAGAACATGTTTTTCTTTTTTTTAAGTGACAATATTTTTTAGACTACAGCCATACAATTTAAATTTTAATATTCAAATTTTAATTTTAATATTCAAATTTGGTTGTTATCAGCATGAGGCTTGTTTTGGTACTTGGATGTGAGATTGCCTGACAATACTGAGTGCTGTGCTTATAAAATCTAACACACGTGTTGTAATATGGTAGGAATGTATCATTCTATTCTACAAGTAGATGATATACAAAATCAATGGCACGAGTAAGTTTGAATTGCTACAAATACACAAAAATAAAATACAAACTAAAATATAACTTACTCACCTTAATGTCATTCAGATCTGTCCACAACATGATAATGTGACTGAATGACTGCAGATAAGAAATCAGAAAGATATGTTCTTCTTCACTCCTTATATCAACAAGATGAGCTCCACTTGAAGATATTCTACAGTTTTGTTGTGCCATGTTCCAAGAACTGCTTTCATTGCTTACTTTATAGCAGTTCTGTTTGAAAGCTGTCCAGCCATCAGAACACAAACCTGAAGACAGACATATGTACTCTAAAATGCTACATGTAAAGAAGCAAAATAATTATTTTACAATCTAAGGGGGAGAAATCATATAAGTAATGAATAAATCATGCATATTTTCCATTTTTTTGAAATAAATTCAAGTACAACTATCTTTCATTTTAGATTCATGCAATAATTAATACTGTATTCACATAGGGGCTTACAGATTTAAAGCATGATCTATATATTACTTCTTTATATTACATTACTAAATGATTATGGGGATTGAAAATATCAATGAGTGTTTATTGCTCCTAGACAGTGATGATTCAAGATCTGACTTGAAATGCAGTGTTAGACCCAAAGATTAGCCAATCTGAGGATGTTCACAGAAGCAGAATCTCCTACTTATTTGCTCTCATCCACATTTACCTGCAACACCCCCTCCCTGACTCTTGTATAATATGGGATAGAGAAGGGTCAGGAAATTTTCCGTGTGTGTGCATGTGTATGTGTGCATCTTCAATTGTGTAGGCCACAAGCCAATTAAGTTATATCATCTTATATCACAAGGAATACAATGGGATTTGTAGTCCATGTCATCTTAGTGGGATTTATTTCTTGGTAAAAGTATTTATTACAAGTTCATAACTGGACAGTAAAACGAAACTGAAATAGTTTTTATTTTTAGCTATTTATACCATTCTGCCTTCCATTCCTTCCTTACCAGACCAGCTTGCACGAGGTTCAAGTGCTTCATTTGCTCTGTTTGGTGAAGAACATTTTAAAATGTTATATTGCATGAAACAACAACAGTGGGGGAAAATGTCATACACACCTGTTTCGATTTGAACAACCAGTGTCTGAGACACATTAAAAAATTCCAAGTTAAGTTGTCTAAATACAAGAATAAAAGTGTAAAGTGTTCCAGGAGTCAGGTCAGTCCATTCATAGAAGACATTGTTATGTTCACATATCCGAGATGAGTTATTATGTGAAATTTCCACAGAAAAATCCCTAGCTGTTATATTCCAGGTAAACAATACACTAGTGCTTGTTGCATGTGTTTTTATAATGCCATCTGCAATCCCACCTATTACAGACATATAAGAAAGTAGAATTAGTTATTAGAATATTTCAACAAACGAAGATGAAAATATATTGAATAAGTTTAATGTGTGCAGGGCAGAAGACAGATATATAGAATATGCATAAAACAATCTACTATAAAGATATTGAACTAATTCTAGTGACACAGAAGCATGTATGACTGGGCTTGTATAAACATGGTCATGAAAATAATTCATTGATACATATTGCACAAAAGACCATAAACAGCTATTGAATGAGCAAAGTCGGCATGATGTTCATTGGAATATCTGGTTGGTTATTATAAAATAATTATCTCATATCATTTTTCATCTTCTTCTACAAATTTAATAGATGAGGATTTAAAAAGGAAACTACACATTGGCTTACTCACGTGTCTTGAATGATTTTGTATGCAGAATCTTGCCATACTTCATTGACTGTACCATCACATCATAGATCTTCCCTTCTTCAAGCAGAATTGTAACATTCTGTGTTTCTACTTGAGTGGTAGAAATACTCTCCATATTCTATGATTACAGAAGGATTTCCAATGTTATTTTAAGACTATATGTCACACTGCATTTGAGGTAGCAATTCTAAACACACTTTCAAGAAAGCACATCATATTTGAGAGTGGAATTTACATCTGAGTAAATTCCGAGGATTGTATCATGAATTACTGGTAGTTGTTTCAGTAACATGATGGCTATATGTACCATGATGAATCATTTTATATCACATCGAAGCCAGAAATTCATGAAATGTTATGAAATTAATAAAAGAAGGCCTAAAGTGGCAACTACATGGAAAAGAGCCAGGCATATTCATGCAATACAGTGACTGAATCTATGCTAATGGAGTTCAAGAACAGAAATGTACAGTGGGGGAGCCCAGTGTCTGCTGAGGTTAGGTTCCAGGTTTCATTTAGGAGTACCATAAGTCAAAAATTATACATTTTCATTTCAAAGATTAAATCTTATATATCCATCCATTTATCTTTTCAGTTCTCACTCCCACCTGCAAAGTTAGGATGCAAAGGAATTCTTTCTTCTAAATTTTCTTTAGACATCCAAATCCCCAACTTTATTTTAACCAACATTTTCAACAGCTTGAGATCAAGCTGAGTAAAACTGATGCAAATATGGAATTATGAATTATTCAGCATACTTTCTGAATGAAATCATCTGCGACATGGTATGTTACAGCATAAATGTCTGGATGCTTTCCTTTTGGAAATTCTGGCCATTCTAGCAAAACTGCTCTAAAAGTCTTCTTTCTCTGATCACATATCAGACTGCTGGACATCTGCAATATAAAGGAGCAGTGTATGTCAGCAAGAATAGCAAATGATACATATTTTTAAATGCTACATTTCTCAGCAATGTTACCAATATGAAAATTTAACTAGATATCTCTGTTTACTTGGGTTCATTAGGTGCTATATTCCAAAAGAATATAATGATTGAAATGAACTTCCATATATGTACAAATCAGCAAAAAATCCCTATTCTTGAATTAAATAGCTTGCAAAGTTGCATATGTATTCTGAATATCTTTAGGATACTTTGAAAATGACTAATTCCAGGACATTGCAGATCAATTACATCTTAAATGCCAAATTACCAAACACATGTTTATATTATAGTATTTTAGATTCAAAGTATAATTAATATTTATTCTCTGATTCAATGCATTATTTTTCACGTACGCTCGTGTTGTATACAAAAGACATTTCAGAGAAGGTAATTGTATTCCAGAAAAGATTTACAAGTTTCTAATGTATTGCTGATACTGTAAGATGAGGCCTTTCTAATGTTCTTTTTCAGTAATCTGGAGAATTTGTCATTCCATTAAAGGTAAAACACATTTGATTTGACATGATACCTATGAACATTCCATCCTTAATTACATTAACAGGATTCTATTTCTTACCTGAAATACATGTTGTGTTACAATCAATAGCCAAATTAGTTTGTCCATAGAATGTGTCTGCTTTGGCTTCCAGTTCTGGGTACAAGTCGGGATCCCAAGTACTTTCTTTCAAATTTTGATTGAATGCTGTCTGTGAGGATAAACAAAATAGCAACAACCTTATTTTGTTTTATTTATACTGCATTGCATTTTAAACATACAGTAGTCTTGCTTATCCAACATAAACGGGCTGGCGGAAAATGTTGAATAATAAGGAAGAATTAAGAAAAAGCCTATTAAACATAAAATTATATTGTGATTTTTACAAATGAAGCACCAAAACATCATGTTTTACCATAAATCGACAGAAAAAACAGTTCAACACACAGTAATGTTATTTGGTAATTACTGCATTTATGAATTTAGCACCCAAACAGACAAGAGCTCTTTCTTTCTCCCACCCTGGACATTATTCCGGGTGGGAGGCAGACTGTGTTGGATAACTCAGAATGTTGGTTAAATAAAGGTTGGATAAGCGAGACTCTACTGCAGTGGTTCTCAACCTGTGGGTCCCCAGATGTTTTGGCCTCCAACTCCCAGAAATCTTAACAGCTGGTAAACTGGTTGGGATTTCTGGGAGTTGTAGGCCAAAACACCTGGGGACCCACAGGTTAAGAACCACTGCTCTACTGTATAATGACTTAAGAAACACAGGCACACACACATGTTGTACTAGTGATGCAAAAGCATCTGCAAGCACCAAAGTAAACTGAAGTTAAGAGTTTCGTCCCATTTTATCTTCTCCTCCCCCTCTTTCTTTCTTTTGGTTATAGGAGGGTCACCTCAACTGATTGATGAATCTAAAATTGAAGCATGGGAAGAAAGTGGTAATATTTGCCTTTTTTCTTAAAAAGAACAGCAAAATATTAATTAGTCCTGATGATGAATTCAAGGGACAGGAGATACAGGTATGAGCCTCCTGAAAAGAGATTGGATCAACTGGTGATAAGAAAAAAGGGGGAAAGACTACTGTGTCCCAAAGTGGAGCATATAACTTTTTCACTTAGAAGCAAATGGCCATTTATAACATTGGGAAAAGGTCTTGTATACCTGATGGGAAGGAGCCTTATCCTATGTTCACTCCTTGGACCTTTTAGTCCTTGAGCTGTTCCATCCAACACATACCTTTCTTTTACTTCAGGGAGAAAATTTTCCAAAGCAAAGTTCTGAGATGCACTTGCGATGCTGTACTGATGCTTTGCTTTGCTTTTGTTCTGGGGAAAACTCCTAGCTGAGAAAGCTCCTGGTTTCCTTTCAAATGTTTGTTCTCTGACAAAAAAGAAAAGAAAAATGAAAAGGGAGCTCAAGAAATAAACCTCAAGGGGAGTTTCTTTCTTCAGATTACCTTGAAGAGATCCAGGCAGGAGCTGAGTTGCCCAGACATGTGTAAAACCCACCTGTAAAGCCAAACCAGTCCTGTTCAGCTCAGATCTTTACTGGAGACCTGCTTCTACATCTCTTTCCTTAAGAGCCCTGCTGGCAATTCATTCTTGTTGCCCTTGTGCCTTTTCCTTATGTGGGCTGCTTAGGGAGGGGGGAGTTTCCATAGAAATGAAAGGAGTTAACTAGCAAGAGGAAAGGAAATTGAAAGAGAGCTCTAGCCAAACAGGGGTTTTTTACAAGTTGGAAATTGAAACTTTCCCCATCCCAACCTCTACAGCATACTTCAGTTATTCATTTCCATTCCTCTGAAACCCTTGCAGTCCAAACACCAAATCCTAGACTTTCCCAAATCCTGAGTAACCCTGTTTGAGAGGCAAATATATTTGCAGATATAATATATTTATACATTGCCATTCATTGTACAAACCTTTGCCATATTGTACTCTTTGAAATAGTCTATAGCCACTCTTTTAAAATTTGTGTTTAGGAAAGACTTGGGATTAATTTTTTTTAAAAAAAACAAAATGATAAAAATATTGGAATGCTTTGGAAACAAATGTTAAAATCCCGCCTTTTCTTCTGGGCCTTTTCAAAATAATCAAGATAAACACAATAATGGCTGCAATTAAATTTTGCATACTATAACAAAATTTTGGGTTTGTGCCACATGATATAATATTTGATCTGCACTTGTGGTAAGGATTATCTGCCTTGAGGGCAGAATTAGATTAATTGTGTGCACTCAGAAGTAATATCTAGGTGACTTAGGACTTCATCTGCAGTGTTTGTTGTATTTTTGTACATGTTTTATCATTTCTCATCACACAATGCCATTGTTGCATCACAGTTTGATTGCATCTTTTCATCAGTGGCTATGGTATCACTGCTGTTCAACTATTGTTTTTGGTATGATTGTTTCTTTCTGCTGCAGTTCCAATATTCTAGCAGTCATGTGGCGTCAGTGGGCATGGTTCTCCTTTTCTCCCCCCTCCTTGTCGCCAAGCAGAATGAAATCATATTACTTCCCTCCCTTTTACAAGTTTTATTTTTTTATTTTTTGTTTTGCTGTAATAGAACACTTGTGCTGCCAATTATGTCAGCACCCTCCAGGCATGTAGCTGGGGGGGGGGCTTGAGGGGCTTCAGCCCCCCCTGAAATTCTCAGGGTGGTCCATGAGGCCTTACTGGTACATTATTTAAACTGTTATGTTTATTCATATCATGATTTATACCATGCTATTGGGGCTATTGGGATAATGATACAAAAGGTTTGCTAGGGTAGATCCTTACCCCCCCCCCCCCCGAATCAAAATCCTGGCTACGGGCCTGGCATCCTCTATTTGTGAGAAATGTTGAAATTGCACAATTTTGGCATAAAAAAGAAAACAAAACAGTGTGCATGAACCCCTGCACAATGGACAGGAAGGTGGAGTCAAGCAAGGAGGTGCGGAAGACTGGTTGTGGGAATGTGCACTATTAAAGTTGGTACAAAGGTTATTTTTTCAATACTATGATGTTTCTAATTGCTGAAAAAAATGTGATTGCTACAAGACAATTGGTTGTGTGATAAATATCAGTGGATCTACTCTATAAAATGTATTGTTCTTGGTGTTAATGTTACTAGTTCCACTGTTACTACATTTTTCACGACACACCAATTTCCTGCACTTTATAAGCTTGTGATTTTGTGTTTAAAGAAAGTGTGAGCATTGTGATAGTGTTCCCTTTGCCCTGGGCTTTTCCTTCCCCCACACTCAACTGGTAGTGGGCCTTAAAATCTGCTTAGGATGCCCATTTACTGGTTATCTAGCCCTGGAATGAAGCCAACAGAAGTTTGCAACTGTCAGCTTCTCCATCTAAACTTTAAAAACAGCCCAGTCATATATAAACAGCAGAAGTGCTCCTTCAAAAACCAACCAAACAAATTTTGTATTACTATAGCAAATTTTCTTCTAATTAGATACTCCCTAAAGGAAGTTTTGTTTTGCTGTTTCATAGCTGTTTTCACAAAGTTAAAACATAGGCAAAATTACACATTACACACAAGTGTGTGCAATACGGCCTGATATCCACTAGTATAAGATGGCATTCGAATAATAATAATAATAATAATAATAATAATAATAATAATAATAAACCTTTATTTGTACCCCGATAACATCTCTCGAAGGACTGGATGCGGCTTACAAGAGGCTGAGGCCCAAACACAACAAAAAAACAACAGCATCACAAATACAACAAAATAACTCATAAAACAGCAATAAACATTAAAACAATAACAAATAACATTAGATAATAATACCATGACACGTTTAAAAGCATCTCTTTTGGATGGAAAGTGACAACTCTAAAAGGCTGCATTCTCCCTAAATATAGCCAAATATATGCAAAGAAGTTTGGAGGGCAATTTGGAATGAGAAGCCAGAAAGGAGTCAAGCCACCTCTTCTTTCTTTCGACAATCAGTCTTTAAACCACTTTCTTTTGGAGGAAACAGAATAGTAAGGAGGTTTGCCATTACTTTGAACAACTTGAAGAACCATGATTTAATTACAGTAGATATTCTCTTCATCAATGCAGGTTGGAACAATTCCCCACTGTTGTTGTGTTCATGATATTATCAATTCATCACTCAGGAACTTATCCGTCAGGCAGGGATGGGGCCTGCCAAGAGACATCACATGACACTCAGCAGGCCCCTCCCTATGGAGCCTCGAAGTGGGAAGGAAACATCACAAGACAATTCCTTGGCCATGATAGGAAGGTAAGTGTTTTTCTGGTAGCTCCACAATGGGAAGGTAAATGTTTTTTGGCTAGCTCAACAATGGGAAGTTAAGTGTTTTTTGGCTAGCTCCACGATGGGAAGGTAAGTGGGTTTTTTTGCTAGCTCCTATAGATCTACATGCATTTTTCATACCTTTTCTCCAGCTGCTGAGGGAAAAGGCAATGTGGCATCTGATGGGGACAGGGTGCCAACAGGTCTTATCCCATCCCTCCCATGTGATGGGGAAAAGAGAAAGTGTGCATGGGACAAAAGACTGTCCTGACAGATTTAAAATTATAAGGATACCCTAAAGAAATCATTAAATTATTCTGAAATATGCTAAAGTCCTTGTAAACCCATTTCCACTCCCTGTCGGAATCACAGATGACTTAAAGGGCCAGACTTAGAGTTAGTTCCAAAACAGAGTTTATTAAAGCAAAGGAAAAGACTCAGAGATGCTTAACTCAATGCCTCTGGTCAAAACTCAAAGGTAAAACCAGCCCTGGTTCAAAAGGGTTAACCAAAGTATAATCCGGATTATCCGGAAAAAAGAACCGAATCAAACACAGTACTCCGGAATCACACAAAAAGGCACAGCATACAAATGGTTAACAAAACAAAGAAGCCGCAGGGAAGAAAGCGTAGTCAAGCAAAGTCCAGGGTCGTAGCAAGCAGAATCCGAAGTAGCGAAGTTCCAAATTCCACAGAAGCAGCATCGTAGTGAAGCCGGTCCAAGGTCAAGGAAGGGGGAAATCCACACTCATGAGAATCCAAGCCAAGTCGAAAGTACTCACGAACAGGAACAGCAACCTGCAGATCCCAAACCCAATGCCAAACATGGAACAGGCAGCGACAATTCCAAACAGTACCCAGTGCACGAACATATACCAACACCTTGCCTTCTGCAAAGATTCCACATTTCTGAAGCCACTTTTATTACACATCATCATCATCATCATCAGATGAACTGACCACCGCCCCATTGTCATCCCTTGCAGCTGCTCCCAACTCTTCATGTGAAGACCTACGCCCATCCCTCCATCTTCTCCATCTCCTGTCAAGTCTTAGATCCCCCCCAAGACTCAGTTGTATTCCCCGATTGCCAGTCTTCACTTCCAGAGAATCCCATAAATGTATCACTAGATGTTGGCTCCACACAAATAGCTTGCACTTCTTTTACCTTAGTCCAATCCACAGTGTCATCCCGTTTTCCCCACTCTGTGACCCATCATCCCCAGAGAAACCCTCAAATGATTCCTTATCTGTAGGTGCCGTAAGTATATCCCGGATCCTCTTCCTTTGTTGCTCCTCATCCGATTCCTGCTCTCGAGTAATCCTCTTTCTTCCTCTATTCCCATCCATTGTGTCTCCCTCCTCTCCTTCACTCATTGACCCTTCATCCCCAGAGAACCCCTCAAATGAGTCCTCATCTGTAGGTGCCATAAGTATATCCCGAATCCTTTTCCTCTGTTGTTCCTCATCAGACTCCTGCTCACGAGTAACCCTTTCCCCCCTTTTGGCACCCATACTGCTGCTTGCAATGTTACCTACAGGCTCTACTACAACACTCCCAGTATAAGCCCAGTAAGACTCACCATTGCAAAAATCTTAGTATGACAAAAATCTACAAGAAATTTTAAATAAATTTTTATTTATAGTGATATATGTGGCAAAAGTATTGTGTTAAGAAATAGCAAACATGTTCCTAACTCATTAATGTGCCATGGTTTACAAAACAGATTTAGATAATTACATTTTTTCTGACAATACTATGTATGGTTTTGTAGAGTCCATATCTTCACATGGTCTAGCGTAATAAGCTTACAACCTCAAAGCAAGTATCATTTCATACATTTATTCTGTGACAAGGTACAGCTCTTTCAATGCCTAAACTAAGCTTTCATATGAAAATTGTTTGTCACAAACTGTCTTTAAAAATTTATTCTACAGCATACAATTCAGATTCTACTTATAAAACAGTTTAATTTTGTTAATTACAATAAAATGCATTGTTCCTCCCGACATTATTGCTAGTCTGAGTATCATTCAATATACTATGCATCATTCCAGATTATGGTTACTGTAGAATAATTGTGCATCTTTGTAAAAAGAGTTCTCTCATATTATCATCAAAATAGTGGCAGAATATAATAAAATTATTTAAGTTATAAAAACAACCCTCTCCCCAAAGTAAAGGTGCATTTTCCTCTTCTTAAAAATATCTATATATTCAGAGTTTGGGATATTGTTAATCAGTTATGGTGTCATAAGCTAGAGTTAGGATGCTGCAACTTTCATTGTGTTCTCATTTGCAATCATGGCATTATTGCCACAACCACGGATACTGAAACCCACTTTAAAAGCCAATAATCCATCTGAAGTAAGGAAGGACTGTTTTGCTCACAAGATGGGCACTACAGGATGATGTGACTAGATCACTTCTGCCTGTAAACAAGGGTGCAAGGAGCAGAAGTACATGGAAGAGGAATGCTTACATCATCCCACTGTGCCCGGCCCACTAGCAGAATAAACCACTTCTGAATGGCTGAATAGTTTTAAGGTGGTTTTCAGAGGTTGGATGGGGAGTTACAGAGTTGCTACAGCATTGTGGGTATGTGGTAGATATGTGGTTTCAGCCACAGTACAGGCAGTCCCCAAGTCACAAACATCTGACTTACAAATGACTTATAGTTAAGAATGGGGGTGACACAACAGGAAGTGAGAGAATTCTAACCCTCAGAAGAGAAATTCACTCCTGAAAGAGTTACCATGGGGAAAAGGTGGCTCAACAGAAGCTTTCACACCAATCCTTGTTTCCACAAGCCATTCTTTTCAAAATCCAATTACTACAGAGACAGAAAGTGAGGTGAAATCTTCTGAACAGGGGCACAGACAACAAAACAAACACCACAAGAGTGTTAACGCTTCTCTCTAAAGCTATATATATATATATATATATATATATATGGCTGGAGTTACACTTTAAAAAAATATACCTGTTCCAACTTACATATAAATTCAACTTAAGAACAAACCTACATAACCTTTCTTGTTTGTAACTTGGGGACTGTTTGTATTTTATATTATCTTTTTAATTTAAGGCTATTATATAAAATGCCAAGTTCCTCTCTGTTAAAATAAATCTTGTAAATGGAGAATAATGTTATAGGGAGTTATTTAGAAGTTTCTAAATATTCAGAAAAAAACAAACATATAAAATTTTCTGAAACACACAGCATAAAGACAATTAAGATTGGTATGTCACAGCTTGTAAAAATAATCAGTAAGAAAACACAAAACATTTACATTGCACAGTGTGCTTCACTTTAAGCACAAATGAGTGGTGCACATCCAAGTTCTAAGAAGCTGCAGAAGGGTTTTGGGATGAAATAACTCTGTAGCAAGTTAATTCACAAATTTGTCATAAATAGATTACTGAAAGAGGAATTAACTGTTGTATATATGACAACATATACTATTTTAATATAATATTCAAATACATTTCTTAATATGTATATATTAATAAACTGTTTATGAAATGTTAATACAATAATAAACATATATTTCCATTTGAATGCATTTCCTACATTATCCTTATAATTCTCAGGTCCATTGACATGAACAGTCTGTAGGCTCCTGGATCATATACATAATTTCAGTGTCATTTCCTGAGCAGTAGAGTGGCACAGTTAGATTCTGCACTCCATTTTCACGACAGCATTTGCAGAACCTTAAATGGCTATCAATGTTGACATTAAAAATTGTGGCAGAGGGACATTTTCCATCACAAGAAGACACATCGATCTGTAAGGGAAAGGCAGGAAAGAAAGTCATTAATCGCTTGAGGTTTTATCAATTTCCAAAGTATATTTAAGTATGTATATGCATAAGAAGCCATTTAGAAATCTTCTCTCCCCATATGCCTTCTCTAAGGGCTCCAGAGGGCACTTTCTCTTGTAGGGCAATCTATGACTGTCTATACTTGTTTAAAGATCTGAGATGTGGGAAAGTGGGAAAACATTTCCAACCTTCTCAGCTTTCAATCAAGTAAACAGCTAAGGTTTAGCTGCTTGCCAGAGCTACCACTGATGCCTATTTTATGTTTACAATAGATTCCTTTAGCTAAGCCCTAAAAGCAAATCAAAATAAAGTCAGGTGCTTGCAGACCTGACCCATAAATGAGACTTGTAGAGACCTTCTATTGTGAGGCGAGGATCATGATGTTGCCATTAATATTTATGGCAAGATCTATAGTTTAATTTTTAGAAAAGGTAGAGGAACGAGAGACCAAATTGCCAATATCCGCTGGATAATGGAGAAAGGCAGGGAGTTTCAGAAAAACATCTATTTCTGTTATTGACTATTCTAAAGCCTTTGATGGGGAATCATAATAAATTGTGGCAAGTTCTTAGGTGGATGGGCATCCCAAGCCCCTTGTCTCTCTCCTGAGGAATCTGTAAAGGACCAAGTAGCAACAGTCAGAACTGACCATGGAACAACAGAGTGGTTCAAGATTGGGAAAGGGTACGGCAAGGCTGCATACTCTCACCCAACCTTTTTAACTTGTATGCAGAACACATCATGCGATGTGCGGGGCTTGGATGAATGCAAAGCTGGGGTGAAAATTGCTGGAAGAAACATTCACAACCTCAGATATGCAGATGACACCACTCTGATGGCCGAAAGCGAGGAGGAGCTGAGGAGCCTTCTAATCAAGGTGAAAGAAGAAAGCGCAAAAGCCGGGTTGCAGCTAAACGTCAAAAAAAAAAAACCAAGATTATGGCAACAAGAATGATTGACAACTGGAAAATAGAGGGAGAACCGTGGAGGCCGTGACAGACTTTGTATTTCTAGGTGCAAAGATTACTGCAGATGCAGACTGTAGCCAGGAAATCAGAAGACGCTTACTTCTTGGGAGGAGAGCAATGTCCAGTCTCGATAAAATAGTGAAGAGTAGAGACATCAGACTGGCAACAAAGATCCGCCTAGTCAAAGCCATGGTATTGCCCTGTAGTAACCTACGGATGTGAGAGCTGGACCTTAGGGAAGGCTGAGCGAAGGAAGATAGATGCTTTTTGTGGTGTTGGAGGAAAGTTCTGAGAGTGCCTTGGACCACTATAAAACAGGACAACGAAAGAGGGGAAACAATAAGAAGGAAATAGAAAAGTAGGAAAAAAGAAAAAAGGACAAAACAAAGAAAAAGAGACTAAACTAACCTAAACTATTCTAAAATGACTTCCACTCCAACATCAGGATCTTTTCCATCAACTTCTTCTACTCTTGTCTATTCTTATCCTCTAATATTTTTCTAAATTTCTTTTCATAATCATAAAAAGAAGTCCAGTCTGTTCTCTTTAGCGGTTTCCCGGTATTTCTTCTCATTAAAAATGTCAATTCGTCCATGTCTCTAATTTCTTTGACTTTCTCCAACCATTCTTCAACAGTAGGTATCTGTTCATTTTTCCAAAATTTGTTCTTGCCGCAGTAGTAAAATACGTGAATAATTTATCTTCATTTTCCTCTACTTTAAAGTCAGAGTCCGTAAATCCTAATAGATAATATTCAGGTTTCTTTCTAAACCTTCTCTTCAATATCTTTTGTATTTCCTCATGTATAGATGCCCAAAACTTGGTTGTTTCTTTGCATGTCCACCATGTGTGGAAAAAAGTGCCTGTTTGTTCTCCACATTTCCAACACTTATCTGAGACATTTGGGTACATCTGGCTTAATTTATTCGGAGTCAGATACCATCTATAAAACATTTTATACCAATTTTCTTTCAAATCCATGGCATAGGTATATTTCAGCTTTTTATTCCACATTTGTTCCCATTCTCTAAATTGAATGGGCCGTCTTAGATTTTCGACCCATTTAATCATACAATTTTTAACCTGTTCTTTTTCCGTTTGCCATTGGATCAATTTATTGTAGAGAATTGTGACTACCTTCTTCTCAGTTTTTAAAATTTTGTCCCATGTGTTTTCTTCCCAGTCAAATCCAATTTTTTGATCTTGTTTAAAATGCTCTTTAATTTGAAGATAGTGTAACCAGGTTATATTTCCAAACATATTCTTGAGTTGTTCAAACGATTTAATCTTCATTTCCCCTTTCAACAGAATATCCTTGTATCTTGGCCAAATCCTCCATCCAAGGAGTCTTCTTTGATGGGCCTCCATCGCCGAGACCCAAAGAGGTGTAACTGTATAAAAGAGGGCTTTGTATCTTAACCATGTCCTCAATAGGGAGGCTCGCACGAAATGATTTCCAAAGTTTTTTTCCTTGGATTCTCTATTATACCACACATAAGCGTGCCAGCCTACCCTCAAATCGTGGCCCTCTAGATTTAAGCACTTTTCTTTATTCAGATTCATCCAATCTCTTATCCATGATAGAGCACAAGCCTCATGATAAGTTTTCAAGTCTGGAAATCCCAGACCTCCTCTCGTTTTTCTATCAATTAAGTTTATATAATTAATCCTTGGCCTTTTCCCTTTCCAAATAAATTTAAGTAAATCTTTCTTCCATTTTTTAAACAAAGTTTGATTTCTTATTACCGGTATATTTTGGAATAGGAACATAAGTCTTGGAAGAACGTTCATCTTTATTAATGATATTCTACCCAGGAGTGATAGATTTAAGTAATTCCATTTTTGTAAATCCTTTTGAATTTTATTCCAAACTATTTCATAGTTATTCTTCAAGAGTTGGCAGTTTCTCGCGGTAATCCAGACTCCTAAATATTTAATTTTCTTTACACTCTCTATCCCCAGTTGTTGTTGAATCTTTATTTGTCTCTCCTTTTTCACATTTTTAAATAACAGTTTTGTCTTCTTCATATTCATTTTGAATCCAGCCACTTTTCCAAATTGCTCTATTTTCGTTATCCAATGTTGTAAATTTTTGTCCGGGTCTTCAATTGTTCCTAACAAATCATCTGCAAACGCCCGTATTTTATATTCGAATTTGCCGATTTTCGCTCCTTTTATATTTTCATCTTCTCTGATTTTCTTCATTAGGATCTCCATAGCCATTATAAAAATCAATGGGGATAATGGGCATCCTTGTCTAGTGCCCTTCACAATTTCTAATTCTTGTGTCAATTGTCCATTTATTTTCACTTTGGCTTTTTGATAATTATAAATAGCGTTAATTGCATTGTTAAATTTTTCTCCCATATCCAATTCTTGTATTAATATCTTGAAAAAATCCCAATTCAGATTGTCAAAAGCTTTTTCGGCATCTATTGCTAATAGCGAATTCTTTTTGATGATTTATCTCATAATATTCCAAAATATCAAGGACATTGCGAATATTTTCTTT